AATGTGGCGGCCTTGTCGCTATCCGACTATGTCTCCGGCTTGGAGGGGTCCGAGATGTTGCTGGATATGATCAGCGAGTCAAAGGATGCGCGAGATGCCAAAGAAGCAACTCGCGGAGAATTATTCTACCCCGAATACTTCTCAATGTCAAAACTCACGACTGGCCTGCGAGCCGGGACATTGCACCAAGGAGTGTTCAATGTTTCTCCTTACAACTACCTGGAAGCCTCCGTCAAGACCGCAGCTTTCGATAAACCTCTTCTCATTCTGGGACGTGATAACAGTAACCGCGCTATTGCAGGTGACTCGGTTGTGGTCGAAGTACTACCAAAGGACCAGTGGAAGAGCCCCTCGACTAAGATTGTGGACGAGGAGGCCGTGACCCGTAATGATAATCCTGATACTGAAGAGACCGAGGCTGTGGTGACAGATAGAGAACGCAAAGCTCTCCAGGAAGAAGTCAAAAAGGCTCATGGCAAGAACTCGGATGGCAAGCCACAACCCACTGCGAAGGTTGTTGGTGTGATCAAGCGCAGCTGGCGTCAATACGTTGGTCACGTTGACTCAAACTCTACTGGCTCACAGGCCTCTGGCAGACGGCAACAAAACGTTTTCTTACTGCCCATGGATAAGCGTATCCCGAAGATCAGAGTACGCACAAGACAGGCTAGCGATATTCTCGGCCAGCGTATTCTTGTCACCATCGATTCTTGGGACCGTGATTCGAGATACCCTACCGGTCACTTCATTCGTTCTCTAGGAGAACTCGAAACCAAGGGGGCCGAAACCGAAGCTCTACTGCTTGAATACGACGTGCAGTACAAGCCATTCCCGAAGTCTGTATTAGACTGCCTGCCATCCGAAGGACATGATTGGAAGGTCCCTGTCTCGAAAGAAGACAAGGGCTGGAACGGCCGGAAAGATCTTCGAGACTTACTTATTTGCAGTATCGATCCACCCGGCTGTCAGGATATTGATGACGCACTTCACGCGCGCCTCCTGCCAAATGGGAACTTTGAGGTTGGTGTCCACATTGCGGATGTATCGCATTTCGTCAAGCCCAACAACCCAATGGATCTCGAGGCTAGTGTTCGCGGAACCACCGTTTACCTAGTCGATAAGCGTATCGACATGCTTCCGCATCTTCTTGGCACAGATCTGTGCTCTCTCAAACCCTACGTTGAACGATATGCCTTCTCAGTTCTCTGGGAGATTACACCTGATGCCGAGATAGTGTCTTCAAACTTCACCAAGTCGGTCATTCGCTCCCGAGAAGCATTCAGTTACGAACAAGCCCAGTTACGCATCGACGACAAATCACAGCAGGACGAGCTGACCCAAAGCATGCGCACCCTCTTGAAATTCTCCAAGGTTCTCCGTCAGAAGCGTATGGACGCTGGTGCCTTGAACCTTGCCTCCCCGGAAGTCCGCATTGAGACAGAGGGTGACGAAGTGGGCGATCCTTTGACGGACGTCAAGACTAAAGCTATGCTCGACACTAATAGCTTGGTCGAGGAGTTCATGCTTCTCGCCAATATCACCGTTGGCTCGAAGGTCTACGAGTCCTTTTCCCAGACGGCCTTGCTACGTCGACACGCCACTCCCCCGCCTCAGAATTTCGAGGATCTTCAAAACCAACTCTCGAAGAAGCGGAACATGGAGCTTGATGTCTCCAGCTCGCGAGCTCTGGCCGATTCCTTGGACCGCTGCGTTGATCCTGAGAACCCATTCTTCAACACCCTGGTCCGTATCTTGGCTACCCGCTGCATGACCTCTGCCGAATACTTCTGCGCGGGTGCCTTTGCCGAATCTGAATTCCGTCATTACGGTCTCGCCTCGCCCATCTACACCCACTTTACTTCGCCCATTCGACGATATGCCGATCTGATGGTTCACCGGCAATTGGCTTCTGCCATTGGGTATGAAGGCGAGGATGGACACGCAGTCATCGAGGGTGTCAGCACCCGCAACAAGCTAGAAGACATCTGCCGGAACATCAATGTCCGCCATCGCAATGCACAGCATGCTGGCCGCGCTAGTATTGAGTACTACGTGGGTCAGGCTCTCAAGGCCCGTGGAGAGAAGATGGCTGCCGACGGTGTCGATGCGGGTATTGAAGAAGAAGGTTACGTGATGCGTGTGTTCGAGAACGGTGTTGTCATCTTTGTTCCCCGCTTCGGCATTGAAGGTGTCGTTCGTCTGGAGGACTTCGTCCTGCCCGGTGAATCTGGAGCTCGTTCTGTCGCCGAGAGACGGGAGCTAGCTCCTCACCGCACCACAGACTTCGATAGCGAGGAATACACCCTTCGTGTGGAAGAGAAGGGCCACCCGGAGAAAGAACGCAGTGTGACTGTTGAACTTTTCCAGAGGGTTCGTGTCAATGTCAGCTCCGTCAAGGAAGAGGGTCGTGGCGCCGGCAAGAGACGGGTCCGGATTCTGGTTATGGAGGCATGAGCCAAAAGCTACATCCATGTAGATTAGATATAGTGTCAAAACGGCGTTCAAATCAAATTAATGACAAACGTTTGTCTGTTTTTATATGTTCATTTTGTCTGGCATGTCTGTACTCTGCGCTATACAGCTATATCAAACCTTTTTCAAAGTAATCATTCTGCGAACTAAGCTGACCGGAGCCCATAACGGAGCAGCCATTTCAGTGGCCCCCAAGACCTGGGAAATAGTCGCAGGGAGGTTTTGCTTCTTATTTCCGCCGAGACTTTCAGTCAACGGGCCAGGCTGGACGTCAGAATCACGGCGTCCCTGAGCACGCTCCAACTCGCCAACCTTCCAACCACGGACAATCCACAAACACAAGGAAGCACCAAGATACATGAAGCCAGTAAATAACTGAACACGCAGGTATGAAGTCCCGCCACCAACATCATGGCTGCGGAGCTGAAGGGCGATAGCCTCGGAGACAGTGCAAGGGGCAACAAGCGTGAGCCAAGTAATGCTTAAACCGGAAGGGAGGTCTCTGATGCCAATAATCTCCGCCAGAACGGGAGAAACAGTAGCCCAGTACGTGCCTGCGACAGTGCCCACCAAAACGGCGAAGAAGCATACCACACCCATGCTATCAGCAGAAGTCCAGATGGCAAGACAGAATACACCGCAGAGGAAGGTGAGGAAAGTGGCAATATTAATGCGACCAAGCCGATCGCTGAACATGCCAACAAAAGGACGGCCGAGACCCTGACCGAGGTTGAGCAGCGCAGAGGCAATACTTGCCTGATGCGACGAGAGGCCGACAGAGAGAGCAAAGTTAGCAACGCTGAACAGCAGCGCCACGTAGCCAAGCATACTGAACACACCCCACCCAAGGAAGAGCAAAAACTCCGGACGACGCAGAAGAGGAAGATGGAAAGCCGTGAATCTACTACCGACGGCCTTATTGCGGTCCCGGAGCAGGTTACAGCAGACCAGGTTCACGACGCAGGCAATGATACCCAAAATTCGGAACGCCCAGCCCAACCCGTAGCGTGGGATAATGGCGCCCACTGCGAGGGAGTAGATCAGGCCGCCGAGACCAGACCCGGCCGCATTGATGCCCATGGCTACGCCACGATGCTTGTCAAACCATTGCGGGGTGATACCGACACTGCCCACGAAGAGGAAGCCCATGCCCCAGCCGAAACAGACACCTTGGCTGAGGAAGATATGCCATTTCTGGGTTGCGAATGAAGACCCTATTAGAGAGAGTGTTTGGAGGAAGATGCCCGAATTGAGTACAAGTCGTGTACCCCATTTTTGGATCATCCAAGTGGCCAATGGGGCTACCAGAAGGGCACAGGAGATACTCAAGCCGCCTGTGAAGGCGTATGATAGGGCAGATGTGTTTGGGAATACATCGTGTGAGAGGTAATGGCTCAGAAAGACTCCGTAACTCTGAACATTAGACCTGTTAGTAAAATGACAGTGAAAAGGCAAAGATTGATGACTCACACTATTAATACCCCAGGTATGCGCATTAATCCAAAAAACACAGGCGACACAGACCCAGCCATAGCCACCGTCCGGGGCCACATCGCGCTTATATTTCTCATCTTCACCGATGTCCAGTGGTGCCGACTGCGGGTGCAACTTCTGTTCCTGCTTTGCGCTTTCTCGGTCTATATCATCCTGGTGCGAACGGATGATATCAATTGGCATATTATCTGCCATGGTATCACAGATACAAGCCCAGCTTGTTGTTGTTTTATGAGATAACGAGCTTCTTGAAGAGTAGACCGAAACCGGTTGCCGTTTTTATCATAATATGGAGGTACATATATAGTGAAAAGAAATAAGAGACCTAATTTAGCACGCTAACAAAAAGCAGGGGCTAGATTTCAATTAGTTTATTGGTAATCGTTGGAGTCATCGGATTATCAGGCTTTCGGACTGATTTCCGCATATCCAAGGAACATTTTTCGAATAGACCACAAATGCCCGGGGCCTCGTGGTTTATTACAAGGTTATTTCCACTCGGCGATATTGGACCAATGAAGGAAGCTGATATACATAGCGACATGTGTCCGCGGCTTTACTTGGCTGTGGGATCTCTGTGCCGAGAAGCCGATGCGGAGAGAGTCCAAACCCCGGAGAAGGGTAGATGTGGGGGATCTTTAGTCATCTGAATCTCGAAGTCTAATTAGAGACTTTATGGGTATCCATAGGGCTGAATCTTTGTCAAATATAAAACTACGGAGTATATATATTTGGAATATGCACGGTATGTTGTCCAATATAGGGCTTAGTACGGAATAGGTATGTAGGGCTGAATGGAACTAAGCCCTTATCAGTACCTTGATAGATAATGATGAGTCATCCGTTGCCTCGCGACGGGCCCCAGGAGTTTGTTTGGAGGGGGAAGAGCCCAATGACGCTAGCCAACTCAGACCGTCAAGTGTAGATCGCAACTAGACTCTTCTCATCCTAGTCCATCTTGGTCCTTGGTCCTTGGTCCTTCGTCATTATCCTGTACTTAACCGTATTTCTCATTCCTTGATCCTTGCAATTCCATGATGCATAAACATAACACCGGACAGAGGAAGGTCTCACCTCCTGGCCCATCCTTCATGTCCAGTGATCAAGTTTGTAAGTGACTCTTTGGTGTTGGACGGCTCGGAGCTGATACGTGAGTCAATAGCAACATACTTGAAGGACTTGCGGGCAAATCGTCCTGCCCGTCCGACAGGATCTCGTCCATACCCAGGTAGAGCAGCCGCATCAACAAGCGACCTACCTGATAGCCTTCCTCCAAGGGCATCCTCGGCATTTTCTATGCACAGCCCGGTCGAAGATGAAATTGAAGATCACCGACGTTCAGACAGCGCAATGTCCCATCGCCGGACAACCTCCTATGTGCCTGGCGGCGGCGCAATGGGTCGTCCTTTAGCTCAGGAGCCACGCACGCACTCGATCCGGAAGAACGTCTTTCCAGCACAGATTCATGCACGTACCATTCCCATTCCGGCATCCTCAGCTCTGCCTTATCGTGAAAATGGTCAACGACGACACGAAAAGGAAGAGGCACGGGCACTACGAGATGCCTTGCAGAAAATGGATGTTGAGGACGATGTTGGTCTTCACCAAGCAGCTCAGGATGAGGCCACAGAGCTAGTTTGGATGCACCAGAATCCTGGTCAAGCTTTCAAAAACCCTTATGCGCCATACCAAAATCCTGATGCCAACAGGCGCAGCCAGAGCCCTGTCCGAAATGGCTCGCAAGAAACTATCCCCTCGACCAATAGATTCAGTCAGTCGACAGGGTCAATTGTCTCCTCTGATGGTAACTCTAGCCCTGAGTCAGCACGGAAACGATCATCTCTGGCTGGACCCTCAAAGAAGAATCTCAAAGTTAACTTTAAACTACCTGATGAGGAATCCGAGCAGTCTGTTGCTCCCAAATCGCGTACCGTCAGCAGTGATTCATCTAAAGGAATTTTCAGGAACCCGAACGACCAAATCTACGAAGAACCCATTGATACTCAGAAGGAACCCGAAGCAAAAGCAGAATTTTCGAAGTCTGACTCGTCAGCTTTGAAAAACAAACCGCGCAACGCGCTGGGGCGTGTGCCTAGGCCACTGCCTTGGTTGCAGAATAGAGCGCACAGCAGCCCTGTGATGGATAAAATCTCGCGGTTTGAAACCAACAAGAACCCTCCCACCCAGTCGCGTAACGCCGGATACACTCGAAACGAAAGCGCTACTCCTCCTCCCGCTCGGTCCCACAACGCCGGTTACACTAGAAACGAGCCTAGTACTCCAACTCCCCCCCCGAAGAAAAGAATGAACTTGTCTCCACCCCGGATGGAAGAGAGAGACGCAGTGATGATATCCGCGCAGCTACCAGCAAAAGACGAGGAGACCGCAGTGAAAAGTTACCAATGCCTTCAGCCGTCAGTGATCGAGTTGGACGCCCAATCGTGAGCTTCGACCAAACTTGGAAACCAAGCGATCAACCGAAGCCTGATCGTCCAACCCTACCCATCATTGAAGTGGCAGCACCGACCATTGAAGTCTCACCCCCCTCAATCGAAGTCTCTGAGCCAACTCCAATTCCCGTGATCAATGTTCCGGACATCAAAGTACCCACCATCTCCGAGATAGAGGCTCCTTCCAAGAAACCGACCAGGCCGCTACCCCAGTCGACGAGAAGCTGCCCAACTAATCAGGCTTTCCCCAGACAGCAGGGATCTGATTCGCAGAGCCGTTGGTATTCGCCCTATACACGATCTGGTGTCCCGACTGCAAGCTGTGAGCTATGCACGCTTCCCATTTCCGGGAAAATTGTGACCGCTGGCGGATGTCGATTCCACCCGGAGTGCTTTACCTGTTTCCACTGCCACACAGCCCTCGAATGTGTGGCTTTCTACCAAGAACCGGAGTCTAGCAGAGCCGAGAGGTTAGCAACCGAGGCTGATGAGCATGATCATGAGGCCCGTGTGCCACGGTTCTACTGCCACCTCGATTTCCACGAGATGTTCAGCCCCCGTTGCAAGAGCTGCAAGACCCCTATTGAAGGAGAAGTGGTAGTGGCATGTGGTGCTGAATGGCATGTCGGCCACTTCTTCTGCGCAGAGTGCGGTGATGTATGTGTTCATTTCCTTTCTGATCATTTCACACGTAAGACAGCTGACGATTTCTCCTCATATAGCCCTTCGATTCCCAAACTCCCTTTGTCGAAAAAGATGGCTTCGCATGGTGTCTCCACTGCCACTCGCGCCGCACCGCACCACGTTGTCTGGGCTGCAAGCAGCATGTCATGGACGAGGTTGTCATTAGCGCAATTGGCGGCCAGTGGCACGAGAACTGTTTCAACTGTCACGAGTGTGGCGATGGTTTTGGTCCGGAGGGCCGGTTCTTCGTTCGTGAAGGCGAGCCCAAGCGAACAGCCAAGGGCCGCGTGATCGGTGGCCCGGTCCAACTGGCGATCTGTGAGAGATGTGAAGGTATCCGTCTCAAGGCGCCTGGGATGTGCTAGACTGCAATCTAGTTGTGGGGCCATGACCACCATATTTTAACGAGATTACTGCTATTATGAAAGATCTACGCATGATGTCGGTGTTTGATTTTTGCATCACTTCATTTTATAGTATGTGTTCTATAACCCCTTTTTTTCCGGGGTTCATTTCGGGAGTTTGTTCGTTTTTGTGTTGTGTTTTTGTTAGCAAGCGAAGATTGCCAGCGATGTTGGAGTATGATATTGGCAATGCATCTAGAATGGAGGAAAACGCCTCAAACACCTCTCTTATCATCATATCATTAAGATCACTGATTCCAATAACTTCCCATGTTCTCTCCTCTTTAATTAGGTATCTAATTCTCTTCACTCCTTCAAGCAGGCCACTCAGGGTCAGCCTTGCGCCTGAAAACAGCAACATACTTGTTGCCCTTATTTCTCGTAACTTTCTTCGACTCCTCCGTCTCATACTTCATAACCCGCACACAAGGATCAGCAGCAAGCTCTTCCTCGGAAACCCGCTCAAACAGATCCTTACTGCTCGCAGGAGGAGCTGCCCCACCCTCCGGTTGCTCTCCGTGCAGGAAATGACGCAGGACCCAGTGATGATACTCCTCAACATCGGTAATGGTGTACAGCAGACCGCCAGGTCGCAGGACAAACGCATACTCGGAGTTCAGGGACTCGGAGATAATACGGGCCTTGTGCTTACGAGCCTTGAAGTGCGGATCCGGGAAGCAGATGAAGATCTTGGAGAGTTGGTGGTGGCCGAAGAAGTTAGGGAGGAACTTCATGGTGTTGCTGCGGATAGCGGTGATGTTTTCGAAGTTTCCTGGGAAGAGTTTCTCCGTGCCGATTTCGTCATCGTTGGCTGGGACTGGGGCCGGGGTTGATTCGGTGCTTTCAGGTTGCGCGGAGGCATCTTGGGGTTCGGTTGATGATGGGTTCGCGGCTTTGTTCTTGAGGCGTTGTTGTTGGTTGCGCAGGGCGTGGATGCGAGAGCTGAGGTATTCCAGCACTGAAATGCGGATTTCCATGCCTGTGTTTCACTGTTAGTTTGTAGTGCTCATTTATGGCGGGTACAATATGGATTTGAATATCGCTGCGCTGTACTTACCGACCATCAAGGTATCTGGCATCAATGGCGCCAGGCCAACCATTAGTCCGCCGAAACCGCATCCAATATCCACGACTTCGACTTCCTTGGTCAACTTCCGCCCTCCGCTGAGGTTCGTTTTGGATGTGTCTGGATCCACGAATGCAGGGTAATGGGATGACCAGTCCATATGCGCGGGGCTGATGGGACTATTGAAGAATCAATTAGCTATCAGTACGCGATCGAATCCGTAGGAATTGTCGCCAGTGAAGCTCGAGAAGCACATGGATATTCCCATAGAAATGATTTAACGTGAAATAGGCAAAAGACGATACATACTACTCTAGCCGGTGGTCAGAGAAGGGATTCGCATGCGCGCGCTGACGGAAGAATTTCTTCTGTGGCATCTTGATGATGGAGCCATCGGTGGATTCCTGTTGGGCCTGTACATTGCGACGGTACTCCTCGCGCTTGATGCGCTTTGCAGGGGGATTTTGGGTGGCCATTGTGAAGAGCAGAGGTGAAGAGAGAAATCGAAGCCGAAGTCGACGAAATTGAGAAAATCCCGGCCCCACCTTTTACTCCACAGCTTGGAGTCGACTTTCTTGTTCTCTCTCTCTCTCTCTACATTGTACTTATGACTTTACTACTTCTATTTGTCTATTTACTTTTCATCCCTCAACCTTGACTTCTTGATATCCTTCAACATGACAACAGCCCCATTCCCCTTCCCACCAACTTACAACTTCCCCCCTTCTTCACCCCGCAACCAAATACAACAACCCGACACTCACAGCTCGAGAAATGGTCATCTCTAATCCAATCATGGTGCCGGCACCACCGTCAATACCGTCTCTCCCTAATCGACGCCGTTGAAACCCCACTCTTCCACAACACAGCCCTGCGCAAGCGCCTTGATCTGCGCGAGGCCCGCGCGGTCATCGACTGGATGACCAAGAGCGAAGAGGAAGGCGGCGGCGGGCGCCGAGCGGAGTGGATCTCTGATGCTGGGGGTATGTCGTCTTCCGGGGGCTTGGGAAATGGTGCCGGGCAGGGGCCAAAGGCTGTTGCGTGGATTTGGTGGAGGAGACCTGAGGAATGGGCGGATGTCTTAGTGGAGTGGGTTGAGGGAACTGGGCAGAGGGGGTCAGTTCTGACGGTATATGAGCTTATTCATGGCGAGGGGGCTATTTCGCAGGGTGAGATTCTCTCTTTGATTGTTGGTAATGGTGTCTATGGTTTGTGCTGATTCGCGTCTACAGAGTTCCATGGCATGGATACTGATGTCATGCTGCGCTCGCTGAATGTCTTGGTTAAGAGGGGCAGGGCGCAGATTTTTGGTGGTGAGGGCCAGGAGGGTGTTAAGTTCTTCTGAAGAGCTCAAGATGAGATGCTGGGATTTCTCTATGGGATAAATCGTGGCTATTCGTGACAAAAACAAAGCGCTTCTCATGTGCAAGTCAAAAGACATGTCAAATCACGTCGCCGATACTCCAAACTTATACACAGAATCCATGTTCTTGGGCTGAAAGCCCTAAGTGGACCAGGGGTGTAGACTCAATACCTTGGTATCAGTCTACTCGTCCGTGTTCTCGATCATCTCCTCAGTCAGCTCGTATTCGTCGGTGGCACGTGTCTGCTGCGACATGGCCATATCCAGAAGCCAGTCAACTCGGACAATCCGTGGAGTCTTCTTGATATCAAGTGCCAGTTGACGGAATCGAGGCCAGACTCGACCATGATTAGCTCCGGCGCTGCTGAGAAGGAAGACATCCTTGCGAGCAGGGCTGTCGTCTTCCGCTTCGCTTTCGTCGTCGCTCTCCTCCCGCCGGGAATGATTTGCTATAGCCAGACGACCACGGAATAGCATGCATTCTCCTCCGTTTGTTTCAACAATAGACTTGAATGCATCGAATCCGCCTCGAATATCCTCGACGCAATAGATGCGATAACCCTGCAGCATTTTATTCTTGTTCTTCATTGCGTTTGTTGTGGCAGAAGACAGGTCAAAATTGTACTTCTTCTCGGCTTCTTTATCCTTCAGAGGGAAGTCGGAGGGGTCAAGCAATTCCTCCTTTTTTAGGCAACTAGTAATGAAGTCTGTGCTCACGATCATCGGCGCATACGCGAGTGCATTGACGAATTTAGTGGTCCGCAAGATTGATGGTGCGGCCAAGTGACTGCATCGTCGGGCATCTTGAACCACCATAATACCGAGATCTCGAAGGCCTCGCTGTCAAAGTGTCAGTAATGAATATTGAGCCAATCATGTTTATAATTGCAGTAGACAAACAAACCTTGTCTGCGTCTTCTTTCTTCTCGTTGCCCTTCCCTACCCATCTCTGATAGCCAGTAATCAGCAGGTGCATAGCAATTGGTGGCCGAGACTTTTTCTGTCGTTTGGTCTCCACTGCCTGTTCGCCTTCGCTCTCATCCTCGGCTTCAAGTGAGGCACGTTTCTTGTTCTCCTGAACCCGGCCCTCGTCTGACTTTCGTCTGCCACCGTAGATAACACCACCCACGCGTTTCCTTTCCTTTTCGTACAAGGCAAGATCTGGGGCATATTCGTGGAGTCGGGCAGTTGCTGCATCTTTCGACTTCCGGCTACTGGTCGACGATGGGGTCTCGTTTTCTTTGCCCTCGGACATGATTCGAGTTCGTGCAGGTGTTTGGATGGGCCGGCGCGACTTCCCATTTCCCTGCGGAGTACCATGTGAGGTTTCCGCGGCATCCTCATCAATCTTCCGTTTCTTCTCCGCGGGAGGCTGCACTGAAACCATATTTTGGTCCTTGCTCTGCATTGCGCGCCGCGGGCTATGAGCAACAGTCTCCCCGGACGAGAAGAAGACCTGCTCCAAAACAGTGCGGTCCAGCTGGGTCTGGCCTGCGACTTCTCCAAGATTAGTTCGCAGAGGGAAGTGACTGTAGCGCTGGTTTGAGGCCGGCTGTAGCCTCCATTTTGCGTAACTGTCCTCCAGCCAGAGGTGATTGACAACTTCAAGGCCCCATTCCTTCGCTGCATTGCATTTCTCACTCGTTCCATGTGCCGTAATCAGATGGGTGTTTTCTTGCTTTAATGTTTTGGTACATTCTGCACCTGCTGCTGCGATCAAATTCTCCAAGTAGATTCTTGCTTCGCCAACATAGTTGGACAAACTGATCTTCAAGCCTTCAAACCCGGGGATACCAGTGCGAGAGATCGGGTAATGCAGCAGTCGCCTGAGGGGTGAAGTGTATGTGTTGAATGTCATGAGGCGGTAGAGCCATGCGAGATTCCCAACATCTATGTTCAGTCGCGATGCCGTGCGGTACGCAAATCCTTCTCGATAACGACAAATCAACATGTCTGCCCCATCAATATTTGATGTCATCTTGGCACCGCCTTGTTCAAGGACAGATTGGATTGATTCCTGCAAGTGCGAGCCGATTCCAAGATCCGGAGACAGCATAATGGACTTCCCTTCAAAGACACTCCGCTGGCCTGGGTTATGCGCCGAACTAGATGGCGTGGGCAGCTTAGCCGGATCTGTTGTTGACGCACCAACCAAATCCTTATTCTCCTGCCATCGGATTGGAGTATCAGGACCCACGCGCAAGATCTCTGGGTCTGGAAGTGTATATGGGCGTTCGTCGATTCGTCGACCAAGTTTAAGGCAGTCATCAAACCTGTTCTCAGTCAGCGAGGGTCGCTGACTAGTGTCCCATGAAACTCACCAGTGCGGTAGTACAATCTTCACGTTCAATTTCTTCGCCTGAACAATGCGCGCCTTGTCGGAATCGGCCGTGAGGTCCACCAAGTGTGTAACCATCTGAGAAACTCTTGGAGCGTACAATCCACCTTTCGCGACCACGCCGCCTATGATCGCATCCTTGTCCCCCTCGGGTATATCACCGCAGGTAACCACGACATCATTCATGAATAGCCGCGGGTCTGGGCTGTATTGGCGGGGATTCGCCAATTTTCGCTTCGTCAATGAGTTACTCACCCACTGTGGCTTCACCACAGGGATCAAAGCATCACAGGTAGTATCGTAGGCTTTGAAGTCAATCGTGGTAGAGATCAAATGGCTGAACTTGGCCACATCGGGGACCTCGGCACCGGGTTGAACAATCAGAGGCTCGCCGCCATTTTGCTCGAGGATGGTTGCGAGCTAGGCGATTATATTTTGTCAGTCTAGTTCAGGTTGTACTAGTGGCAGGAAAACACATACCTGCTCCGCGGATTCTCTCGAAAGATCCTTGGAGCATACAATGCAGAGGCAACACTGCTCGAAGAGCTTAGACTCTCCATTTTCAGCTGCCATGGCCTTCCTTGGAGATTAAGTATGCGATCGAAGAGCGAGTCGTTGGAAAATCTCAAAGAGAGTCACATCCAAGTGTAAAACCAGAATGAGGCAATCAGGACGCGCTCACGCGTGTCAGGAACGCCGGATCACGTGCACTGGCGCGCGGGGATTATTCAGATAGATCTCGTTTGATCTATCTATTTAGAATCGACCGGCCATTTTTTGTCTTATCTTATATTTTTTTGGAATTCTATGAAATTATTGTCTTATTACTGAAAAGAAAAGCCCAATATCTGTACCGGGTATGTATATTCGTCTCCCTATAAAACCGAAAAGGGGGAGAAATATCTCGACATCTAAACAGAATATCTGAAAGGACCACTCAGAAGACATCACAAGGTAGTCAAATAAGAAACTTCCAAAGCTGTGTTTGGTATGGATATGCTTATGACCTGCCGGTCACCGATTTTCAGTTACAATTTTGATTTCGCCGTAATTGGGAGCTTTAGCTCAGGATCACTCTCTCTTCATATAAAAATAGAAAATACTGATCTCTGTACAACGTACTCCGTATGTTTTTCATAATGTTTCGTTTGTATACCTTAGGTGCCAATAAAACATTCAACTCGATTTATGCTCTCGATCAAACAGACCTGGGGCTTTTCAGACACATTTAAGATAGCTTGCTCAGAGACTGGTTTCCCCAGTGATCAATCAGGTGTGCAACGCATGATCTAATGGCTACAATCTTCCTTCCTCGTTTATACTCTGTCCATTCCTTCGGGCATAGGTCCATATGCCGCGTCCAATTTGCTTGACGGTAGATACAGCCCAGCAAAGATATCAGTGACGGCGTCCATCGGCCACTCTTCTTGGTCCTCAGGCTCGGAGTCAAACTCAGACACAGACTCGGAGACAATCTCGCAATCAGGTCCAGATGTAAAATCGGGGTTGACATCGGGGTCATTGTCAGATGTGGGCTCAGTCTGGGTAGGCTGCTCACATCTAGTGGATTTCACAGAGTCATCGCCACCGGGCGTTGATGGTGCAACCAAAGGCATCACTCGATTTCCAGGATGATGGTTCCTGCGCTTGATATTGTCAACATACTTTCTCTTGGAGTCTTGTTAGCAATCTACCTACGTATCTTAATGCATGAGATGAATCTCGGTACCCGGATCGATGAAATTGGGTTCCATACTCTGCAGCAAACTGGGCATCGGTATGCCTGGTAGAATGTGTCAGTATATGCTTCGGTAGTTGACCACACCGGAGAGTAACAGAAGAGACCCAGGCAATTTCCTCTAACGCATCACAATAGTAGCCGATCATAGTGGCAGAAATAATTTCCCTCTTGGGTTCTTTCATATAGAGGGCATCACGCCAGCCTCCCATCAAAACCCAACGCTTTCTCGCGTTATTTCCAGCAGTTTTTTCCTCGGCGGTCACGGGGCCGAGCTTTGGCGGGTTGGCTATACACTATCAGCATATACTCTAAATGTACAGAGTTCAAACCAACAGAACACGCACCGGCACCAGTATGGGCTCTACGAACATGAATGCTGAAATTGCGCTGCCGGTGGAAACTCGCCTCGCATAGCTGATTGTCTTGAACCAAGATATCGCAACTATTTTGGTTAGTCTAGATCTAACAATACATTGAGGAACTCATATGATACACTATGGTGTCACAGCGATTCAGGGTAACCATCGGGGCTTGTGGCCTATTAGCAGTAAGAGCAGTTGTGAATTGTTTAGTGCCTATATATCCACTTTGGGTCGTCGGTATTATTTTCCAATCAGGATTGTTATTTGGAATAGGTCCTATGAAGGTTCAATAGACTGCCGTTACCAGACCAAATCACCTATATTCTGCACTCACCGTGTGCGTAGCCCCAGACTGGATATGGGTTCGTAGCATTCAGTACATCGGGATTGAGAAAGTCGCTTTTGAATAACTGTGGCCAGGTTACCTCCATCTTGTCTGGATGGCTCATGGATGGACGATTGCAACCAATATGTGAAAGGGGAAAGATGTGCAGTGTGTAGTGATGGCAAGGAATGGGATAAAATTGACCATCGTAGGGGTTCTTTATAGACTTCTTGCATATAGTGGTGGCAAACAAGAGTAACATGTCTGGATGAGGACACTACTAAAAAGACTACTAAAAAGACTGCACAAGGCCTAAGCGGCCGGCGATTCTTATGATAATTGAACTGTATGTCGAATAGAAAACCGACGGTGGGCTAGGTCAAAATTTACTATGGGAAAATCTGTTATGGCGCACTGGGTTGGAGACCGCCGTAGTGCGTATTCCACCTCGAGTGGTTTACTTATACTGACAGCAAAATCGTCACTGGGGAAATCTTTCCCCCACTCCACATATCTGTATTTGAAGAGCTCGGATATCTCCCAACTGTTCAAGGGAGATCTCTTTTGGCGTCGTCTCACGCATTTTGAAAAATATTCTTGCGCTGGTGAATGAAACTGAAATGAAGGGCTTGACATGTAAGGAATCAAGATCCCCTGCGATCCAAGGTAACTAACTATGAGGTCGACATCCGCGTCTCGACCGTCGGCGGATCGATTGCAGTGACGTTATCTCACACTGGGATAATTTGTACAATAGTAAAGAATATCAGTATCCATGCATGCTTCAGCTGCTATGTACGAATGAATATGTAAACTAAAGAGCCGGGAAATATGAACATTAAAAACGAGGCCCAACTCGCTCAGATAACCACCAAGCTAGATGCAAAAGGCGAACAAGCAAAGAAAACAAAATCAAGCTGCCATTGTCAAAACATACGAAGTGATACTATCCATGCGCTCAGTCGTCAACTTCAAGCTAACAGTCAACAGCTCACGAGCAATGCGTGGCTCCTTATCCTGCAGCGCCTTCCACTGCACCCCCGTCAAGCACCAAGCCACACAATCGCGTTCAGCCTTGACTGTCGCCGTGCGGCGCGTATCACTGAAGAATGGCAGTTCGCCGCACGGTCGACCAGCGACAATGAGCTCGAAGTAGCGGCCCTGCGGGAGGTCGTAGCCAGCGCGCAGCATGCCCGACTCGAGGAGGTAGAAAGCGCGCGGGGCGTCGCCTTCGTGGTACAGGACTGTGCCAGCGATGTAGGATTCGCGGGAGAAGTAGGCGCAGGCGGGGAACCAAAAGTCTTCATTTTCGGTTGAGAGGCCTTGGAAGGTTTGGAGGAGGAGGGGGAGTGGTTGGCGCATAGCGGACCATGCGGGGGAGGCCATCATTGTTGTTTCGTGGGCTTGGATGGTTGAGGTCGCTACACGCTGCAGGTATTGACGGCGGGGTGAGCTGACAACGTTGTCAGTTAGGGTGGTGGGTTTAGGTCCTGAGGGCACGGGGACTGAGGCGGGGACTTCAGGGAGCTCAGAGTCTGCAGTTGGGTCGGTGGGTGTAGTGAGTGCTTCCTGGTGGCTGTAAAAAACCTTCAGGTAATTGTTCTCGCAAAACTCAAGCGCCGAGTTGAGGTCTTCGAAGATGGGCACGCCGGACTCTGGCTCGAAGAGTCCTACGTTTTGTAGGGACTTGCCTACGTCACCTTCGACATTCAAGCCGGAGATAGCTGTCTGTACGTTGCGCTTTCGGAGAACACGGTTGATGCGGGTGAATGCTTCTGCGGCTGAGAAGTCGAGCCCGTAGACCCGAGAAAAGTCGAGAATGAGGAATCGAATGGGACGCCGGTCGAAAGCTTCCTCCTCGATCAGGCCACGCATGGTGTTCTCGACATTCACGATGGTTCCAAAGAAGAGGTATCCACCAAGCTTGATGATCAGGGTCTGCTGTCCAGCTTCGCGTAGGAATTGCTGTTGGATAGGAGGACGTCGTACGGTCGAACCAGATATTTCACCCGAGAATGTTGCTCGAATGGCGGATTTGCGAGAAGTTTGAACCACAAAGTTCACACAGGCCAAAATGATGCCAATGAAGATTCCAACCACGAAGTCCCAAGCGCCCATCGTAACGACGATGATGACAACGGTTAAATATTCAAGGCGGGTGAGTTTTCCCCATGTGTCCACCAATGCTTCTTGCAAAAGCTCAATGCCCAACAAGAAAATCAAGGCACCGACAACCATAATAGGAATATAGCCGATTATGACTGGGCCAATGACCATGATGCCTGCAGTAGCTGCAGCCAACATCAGACCGGCCAACCGGGATGATCCGCCACTTGCGATGAAGAGAAGACTATTGGTATAGACAAGATAGTTCTACTTTCGTTAGCGCATTAATCACAGCTCTATAAATGGCGGTGACATACCTGAATGCTTCCTGCAAATCCTGAAAGTGCATTCGTCACGCCATGTGCCACGAGCTCTCTGTCGACATTGAGATTGTCTTCACCGGTGGATATGCCGAGCGCAGGTACGTTAATGGGCACATGAAGCACACCAAAGAAGGTCAAAGCAAACATGGCCGGGATTGTCTCACCAAAGGCAGTCCAATTGACCGCCGAGAGATCTGAAACGAATTAGCATGGCAACACCAAAAGTATTGCAGCCAATAGACTCACCATAAAGAGTATAGAAATGATACCACGGATTGTTCGAAGATGGGGCATCGAAGACCCATCCATTGTGGCGCAGAGCACCCATAGAGATCCTGGCGCTTAAAATGACAATGTAGAACACTACAGCAACAGCAATGAAGTATCCACCGACAAGGAAGTTTGAGCGAACAAATCGTTTGAGAACAAGAAGGCCAATTGCAAGGAACAAGGGTATCATCCAAAGAGGGAAAGTATCAAGCTGGAAAAGTTTCTGGATCGTAGGGAGATTGTACTCGAAAGACCCGGGAAGCCGAGCTGAAACCTCGATTCCAGTTTGTAGAAGAAAGTAGCCCACGCCACCGATACACCCGATGAGAATATGACGGGGAAAGAAGCCAATGAGTGAGCCCAACCCACAGACACCCATTAAGAAGAACACCAAGCCGGTGAGAATTGAACTGGCCGAGAAGGCTAGGATGGTCGTTGCAATCACTGATTTTGGGTTGTCCTTGCCGATCGAATTCATGATGGTGAAAGCCATCTGGTGGAAGAAGGGTACTACTTCAATCATCTCACTTCCTATTCCTCCTTTGAAGATCGAGCCTCCACATGAGAATACCACTTGGGAAATAATGGTACTGACATAGAACATCGAGATACCGTCAGTTCCTAGGTGAGAGAACAGGGGTTCTCCCAGAGGAAACAAGATCATTCCATAGGATAAGGCATCAAGAATGTTTAGAAGTAGTCCCAGCAATACGGCAGGAACCAGACTGGCGGGGTATACCACAGCCTCTTTCCATATAGCTCGCCTATCCCACGATTTTGGGTTCGACAAGATCCGGGTATAGTGAGTGGCAGATGAAATTCCTTTCGTTATTAGGGTTGGAGACCGTTTGACAGCCGGTCTTTGGTTCTCGGCGTCGCCTGCACTTCCATAATGTTGTGTGGATTTGGATCGTGATTTGGATAATAACGAGGTGTGCTCATTGTCTCTTTCGGGTTCCTCGTAGGTCTTCGGTAGTGGGGGAGAGGAGATATCATTGGTCCCGGGTTGCGTGACCTGGTCCTCCTCCGTATCCTTCAATGGACGGCGAATCATCTCTGTCAAGGCTGAAGAGCCCGAAGGCGAAGTAGGATCGATAGAGGGATATCCCGGCTCCAACAATGCCTCCCCCGCGGCATGGTGAGAGCTTGTAGCTTCATCCTGGGAGTGACTTGCAGAATTTTGCCTGCCGTGGAATATATCAAGGCTGGGAGGTAAGCCGGGCCCGTCCCTCAAGATGGATTTCTTATTCAGCGAAAGGCCATAGGTAGCGAGCTCTGCGGTCTGGTCACGGAGACCGTCTGAAGCATAATGCGCCGGGTCTACGATAGGTCAAATGGTCAGTAAAAAAAATCGCGTGGTGTCTCTAGCAGTACATCATGCACAATGACCCACCCATATTGCTATTGAAGGACCGGTGGTAGAATGAACGAGTTGGTGTTCTTGTTGTCGATCCATTGTAACTGGATGATTCCGCTCCCATTGGACCGGGCGGGCTGCCTAGGTTTGCTTGTTCCACCAACGTTTCTGACGGGGCGTTACCCTGGATGTCGCGGTCAAACAATAGATTGCGTGACAGCGCTGATGCACGAGAGTCGCGACGGCCGCGAGGTTGCAGCACCGCCATGTTTCGCGCAATTACCAAGTGATGGAGTCGAAAAAGTCAAGAAATCCGGAAGATGAACGGGGCCACTAGCGCATGGGGCGACCGTTTAGACAAACAAATGACGCAATCGAGATGGGCATTGCACAGCGGGCTTAATGAGTTATATGTATAGAAAAGAGAGTTACCAACACAAATATGAATTAGCAACAAGATAGAGAATGAAGTACCGGAGTTTTTGACTAAACGTCCCTTATCTCCTAACAGTCAAGCTAAACCAGATCCGGACTGATACAGATGAAGATAGAGGGAGATGGTCTGTGCGGGAACTAAGGGAAACCGCCATGTGGATAAAAACACTTAACCTCTCCTTATAAGGCCTGTCTCTTCACTTGAGCTAACTTTGCACTAACTCAACTAGCACGACTAAGTTAACTTCTGAAATTAAATATGCAAATCGAAATAGTACGCAGTAAGCTGCAGCTCCGCAGTCGGACACAGATACGTATGATCGGCATTGGTAGTATAAGCCCGTTATTCCTTGCATAACGCCATAAGCCAATGAGCTGTCCACGGGTATGATCGTTTGTCAATATTTTCCGGGCATCTTACACTTCTGTAGCTTATTTCTTTCTCACCTTTCCAGGGTGGTTGTCTAACTGCATCTAGACCCTGCCCCAATTGACCTTTTACCATAGGCTAACCTAGCCCTGGAGAATAAATTCGAAAAAGAAATCCATAGATTAAACCAGCAGCCATGCACAACCTTACTTATGTCACACCATTGCAATGCAGAAAATCATCATTTTGGCCGTTAGGTCTAGACACGCTAACGGCGGGGGGTATCTCAAAGTACATGGTCCCTTCATAAAACCACTGTAGATAGCCAACGCCAATTCATGTTTCTTGTACTCATATAGAACCCGAACATATCAGGTAGTCCCGACTCACATTCAAGTCAACCGCTCTAGGAAACCCTGAGCAATCAGCCGTTCCACATCACCTTGACGAACATAGAGCTGACTGTTCTTGGTCAAATTGATCACACTAAACCTGAATTAGCCACCAGATCTCCAAAAAAATGCCAGAAAAAAAAAACATACCCATATTCTGTCTGAATCTCACCAGCATCTTTTAACACCCGTACATCAATAAACAAATCCTTCGGCGGCTCCAGCGTCCCCGTCAGATCGACATCCGTCCACTGGCCCTTATACGCAGCAAGCATATCCCCGTATTGGCGAAAATACTCCTCCTCCTCGGGACTCAACGAGCTATGCCCGCTATCCCCAAGAGCCGTGTGCTGAGTCGCCCCACTGTCCTCGGACGGTTGCTGCTGCTCGAGGATATCCACTCCCGTCCAGCACAGCTCCTCGAGCTTCTCTGTGCGCACGCGGTGGTAAGCGAGTAGGCAGCGTTTGTTCCTGCGCATGCATAGGTGATCGACGAGTAGCGCGCAAGCGATAGCTGGGTCGGCGGAGGGGTTGAACCCGCCCTCGAAGGGCTCTAGGAGGCGGGTGACATCACGGTCGAGATCGCGGACTTCGCGGGTCACTGCGCGCACGATCTCAGTTTGGTAGGGGGGTAAGTGGGCGAGAGATTGGGTGCGTTTGGCATGTTGGACCTATCGCGGGTAAGATGTTGGTCAGCGGGTTGTGTTCTCTCTTTTGCGCTATTTGGCGGTCGGTGTTTGGGTTGGGATTGTAAGCACCCAGGAGCAGGATAAATCTATAGCACACGTACCAATTTGTTGCCGAGTTCGCCGTACATGGTGGCCACGCGGTCGGGGTCCTGGTCCTGATGAGGGACGCGACTTTGATCCATTTCGGCGAGCGCCAAGATTGGCTCTTAGTCAGGTGGAGTGATCGGCGCCAAGGTCAAGTATGGAATCACTTTTTGGGTAAAGGCTCTCTCGATCTTCAAAAGAGACAGATGAGAAGTACATTGGAAGTTACAGGCCTATATTGAATACGGTGTAAGGTTGATGTTCCACAAGAGAGTCGAGGAGGGGAAACGGAAAAGAAAGCTGGAAGGAGCACAATGGCTTCAATTCTAGACGAATCAGGGAAGAGTGACCAATGGGATTATTCCTGAATAATAATGAAACGTGAGCCAATGATTGAAATTCCTATCAGTACTGCATAGAAGCCCTCATTTGGTTGTATTCAGCCTGTGTGATCGGCTCGTACTTTGCAGCACCTTCTCCAACACATGGAATACATTCAATCACCGAGTCAGAATCCGGTGCCATGAAATACGGAATAGAGAACCGTCTACGGGTGATACGATCAATTCCTTCGAATTTATCAGGAAGAGGCGGCAAAGTGACTCGATGGCTGGTCGACCTCAGAAGATCTATACAAGTCAGCGGTTGAGAGCAGAGTAGGAGCATATCAAGCGACATACCATTACTCCACCTCTGTAAAAGATCCCCCACATTCATCACAATTGCGTTCTTGATAGGTGTTGCAGAGACAAATGTTCCCGGTGACGAAACATCCTTGACTTCCAGCCCACCACAGTCATCTTGAAACAGCAAGGTGATCGAACTCCAGTCTGTATGTGCGGGGCATCTGGCTACACGCTCTGTCTCAATTGCTTCTGCCGGAACAGGCGGATAGTGTAGTAGGCGCAGCTGGTTATTATGACCCGAGTGTTTCTCAAGCAGATGGTTCTCATCTAGCTCCAAACCAACAGCAAGCGCTTGTAGGACCTCCCCTCCGACATGGAAACACTCCCAGTAGAAGCGGTGCATGAAGTCACGGAAACCGGGGAGACTGTGTTCGGGAAGCCATTGATTAGGCTGGGTGGTATTTTCGTCACTTCCTATGTCATAGCTTTCCTATGGCAGGTTAATGAAGCTCGGATTTATATTATACAATAGATAAACTCAGTGCCGATTGGAAGGTACGAGACCATAAACAAACGCAGCGGGTTCTCACTTTGATGTCTGTAACTTCCCTCAGCTGGTTCGCCTTTTCCTCGTCGATACCGGTGCTCATCGCCTGTGACACCTTCTCCAGTCCGGGCCAAGAGTACCCTCTGTGAACCGCCCATCCCTCTGGATGGGGCACTTTGAGTTTCTCGTCTTGTGGTAGTTCGAAGAATGACTTTGACCAGTTGAATGCCTCGTCTAACATCGATTCTGGCAATGAGTGGTTGACTATATACACGAATCCCACTGTTTTGCAAGCGGCGACGATTTCTCGCGCGATTCGCTGACGACTGGACTCCGTGTTCCAGCCGGAAAAATCCACGACAGGGATGTTGGGGGACTTGTCGGAAGCCATGACACGTTGAGGTTCTAGTGTAAGGATCAATAAACAAATTAAGACAAGAATATATAAGACAAGAGCTCAGAAGAAAGAAGAAAAGTTTAAGTTCCGACCTCCAGGGCTAGCACCCCTTACATGTCAGACACTGGGGTACCCGTGGACACTACATGTATCTGTGAATTTCCTATTCTGGTTAGTTTTGCCATTTTGGGTCTGGCGCCGCATTGTTGCAGTGCAATTATTGGTTCTCAATGTTGTCCCCTCTAAGTATCACTATCACAACTCACCATGAATACAACACCGCAGCAAATCCTCAACATTGATGATGCCCTGGTGTCGGAGGCCAATCCCGCGCGCCTCAGTGGCCCTCTTGACTACGAGCGATGTGCGAGGCTACACAACTACCTGGTTGCGTATGGCTGGATGGCCCGCCATAGACAGGAGACACCCAATCTCGATGAGCTAGCTAGTCAAGCTTTCGTTTTCCCAAACGAAGATATACAGGCTGTGCGCGAACGACTCCACCCATCAGTGAATTCCTTCCTAGATTCGGTATTCTCGCCTGAGCCTAGCTTCTTTTACTGGGTGAATGATATTACAATGGAGTTGGTCGACGAAATTTTTCAAGATGAGGACAACGATCTAAACGATCTAGAACGATTTGTTGTTATTTATGGCACTGTGTTTGAGTTGGGCTCGCATTGTGTCGGCGTCGTCTATGACCAACAACTGCATCGCGCTGCCCTCCCAATGACGCTTGAGAATCTGGATAGCGTGCAGCCGATAGACGCATGAGGATATGTGGTTCCCATTGGAAACGATCCTTACCAACTGGAATCATATGCTTCGAATCGGGAAAATCACGGCCGGTTCACCAGAGGGCGAAGCGCCCGAAGAACTGGCAAGTTCTCGTTCGCAAATCGGCCTTTGGTCTTGGCTTCCATATTGTTCTAGTCAAGTCGATAGTACTGTGGCTGCTATAGATCGCTACTCGGCGGCTATCGAAGCTAGAATGCCTTCTGGATCGCTTTTGTCTATCTCTAGAGATGCGCCGCTTTTCACGGACGTAGAACTTGATGCGGCGTCTATACCGGAGGAGTGCTTTATTCGTTCAGTTCTAACGAGGGTGAAGACTCCCCATTTTAAAGCCATTGCGCCCGGTTTGGAGGTTCCGCACGATAATGGTCTTCACGGCTCGACAGAGGTTTATAGGGGTGCCTCGCGACCAGGAGGGATGGGGCAAGAATATCCCGCCCGTGCTACTCTTCGCGGCTGCAGATAGCAGCCGCACAGTCAGTTTTGGGAAGGAGATTCGATGGCTTTTCCTTGGGCCAGAAGACGAGGTATTATTCAACGAGAATGATCTTATTCCTATGGGGCTGTATAGTGAGTCAGTACGCCGGTGCCAATATGATAGTGAGGAGGCGGGCTTCCGTCTACTACTACCTTTCCAGGATCACAATGGAGCGAAAATGAGTGATGGAACAACAATTTTGCCAGGGTCTGTCTCACGGCTCTTTCAACATGGCATTTTTCATCCATTTGGTGGTGAAAGGCAGGCTCGAAGATTGGAGAGGTTGATAGATCGGTGGATAGAATTAGTAGAAAGTGGTGTTTGGACGGTTGGAAGAGATGGTGTGGAGGGAACAATTGATGGATTCCATACGGATAGTGCCTATATGGATTATTGGATTGCTCCTGACTGGTGACATCCATAAATGATGTATTGAAATATGAAGATGCTACTACCTGGACTCCAGGGTTGTCCACCTAGGCATCGGTACATTGCTGATCGAATATCTGACCTTATCGACCTTGGAAGTACAAGAGCAACTATGACAGCCTGCATATTGAATTTCCGTGTCCACGGAGTAAAAAGTAGTGATCCAAGACATATCATGCATCGTGTTGGCATTGGGACCTCACCGTAGGAACGTACCCAATCAGCCTAATTTAGCTGCAGTAGGGTCTAAACTGTGTCCCACATTTTGTTTTACAGATTATGTTCTAGTAATTATTGAAATTGTTTTAATACATATTACCAGTGCTCCCCCGGCCATTAATAGAATTAATATAAAAATTAATATAACCTGACTTACTTCGGGTCTAGAGGGTCGGGCTGCGGTTGCTGGGGCATCCTGGTGGAGATTTGTGACCTGACTCTGTGAACTACATCATTTGTTCTTTAAGCCCTGATCTTTTCTAGAATCTCTCAAATCTTCAGGAAGCAGGTATCCTGGTATGTTAAAGTGCCGAGTCTTCAATTATATCCCTCGCGACCGATGAAAGCTAATCTTACTCCTTTAAGTGGTTTGTTGACATCCAAGCCCAACCCCGGATAACGCCTCCAACGACGAAACGAAGCATGAGAATAACCCACTAAACTCACCCAAGATCAAACGAAGCCTTAATTCAATTCCTCCAAATCGACCATTCCAACCCCCACCCCCAGACCCCCAGAATGCGGGCTTCCTGGTGGATCTGGATTGCCGCCACATTCCTCACCTCGACCGTGCGCTCAACAGAGACAGCACCCTTCACCGAAGCACAAGAAGCCACAGCCAACAAGCGAGCCTTCGAAATCCTCCGGATTCTCAGACGAGCCGACAACAACTGCCCGGGCGGCTTCATTCCCTGCACCGAACTGGGCAACGCCAATGCATGTTGTAAGCACGGAACAAACTGCTCACGCGATGACGCCAACAACATCGCTTGCTGCGCGAGTGGTGCAAGCTGCACCGGCAGTCTGACGGGCACAAAGACGGCAGGCACAGGCACCGCCTTCATGTTTCCTAACGCCGCAACCGCAACCCCCACTTCCGAGGGCCAGGCGGCGTCCGTCACCGGGTCGACATTGGACGGCGCATACCCATTTGTTGTCGTCCCGACCGCTTTCAAAAATGCCGACACTTGCTCGTCTTATTACTCCCTGTGTCAGTCTGAGTACACACAGTGCACTGGCGCGCTGATGGGCCGTTACGGCGTCACTATTGGCGGCGCTGGGGAGGGCAAGACGGTCCAGGCTGTCACGGCTGCGTCGCAGGCGACTTCCATTTGCTCGAGCTTGAGTGCAGATGCTTGCCATGGTATTAATTTGGGGTATTGTGACAGCGTTGCGACTCAGACTGGCGATGCGGACGCGGCTGGGAATGATGCCTCTCCTGTGCGGATGTCGAGTCTCCATGATCTGGTCTTTGGGCTGGCAGTTGGGGTTGCAGGGATGTTTATATGATTCACGGATTTGAAACGATATTTGAAATGCGTTTTTTTTTTTTTTTTTTGTATATCCTTTTTCTCCCCTGTGAATTTTCTATCACCATGTGGAGCAACCAGAAACCTCCTGGAATTCATGATATATATTGGGTTTGGGTGGTAGCTCCGCCAATATCTCGGTATTACACTACGTTATATATAAGCTATTGCCCTCCATACCGGAGATCTTTATGTACGCATTCCATTCCCATAGAGTATTCTTGACATGGAATGCTTCAAGCATGAGACCATATTTTGGGTGCCAATTTACCATGTGTTGTGTGGGCTGGCGGAATTCATGTCTCTTAGAGGTGCTTGACTCTTAGAGGTGCTTGACAGGCCTGAGGGGTCGGCTCTTTCAATCTAGCCTGGTTCAGTAGAAATTCGCTGCATTGTAGATTGATTAGATGAACCTTCTGCTTGTACCCGACATGGATCTGCCATGGCGTTCATAAACACTTATTCGACCATGGTTGGGAACAGCCGCCCCACTTTCATTTCGTCCAACCCGGGGTTCGAAACCCGGCTGTCGGCTTAACCCACGTGATTTCCCAAAATAATAGGACCAATTAGATGACATTAAAAGACCCACATTAGTATATCTCCATAACGGGCATGGAAAGGGAAAAAAAATAGGTAGCCTCTCCTTGATTGAGCGTGTCATCCTTAGTGCAGGGGCCATGCTAATCTTCTCTGTATATTTTTAGTTGGCCATATGACCCGAAGGGCAAAATATCTATTCGTTCAGTTCATTATAACCTCACTTTGGGCATAAAATGACCGCCTACATGTTTGGACATGGCGTTGTTTGTTAAGACGGATTTGTGAATTTGAATGATAGTTTGATAATACGATCTCTAGAAACAGATGCCTTTTTTTTTCCAAGGTAAGCCTTATGCTTGGTACTAACATCTAGTTGATTGTTTACACCTAAATTCAACGATGAAGGGCAAAGGAACATTCTTAAGCTGATCCGCTTCTGGATAACTGGGTGGTATTGCAACACATGTCTGGGATGTTGGTTGGCGATTTGAGGCTAACGAGTTGGCCAACAGTCTCGATGATGCGACCAATGGGAGTCCATTCCAGGTTAGTGATGGAGCATAGATCAGATGGTTACAATTTGATATGAACTGTGCTCAATAGTTAGACTACATATTGTTGCTCAGTGCATGGCCATTGACTGGCAGGCACGGAAAGAGGATTGATGGCGTTGCCAATGGTGGAAAATTGATTAGCACAAGCACTCGACACATTCTTAAAAGATGACCAAGCCTTCATCGGGAGTCCCTCCGTGACATTTGGTCATGTTCGGATTCCCTTGTTGCATGGCACCTCTTGCCCGGTGTTAAGAGTCTTGATCTTCGGGCTCTCAGGATATCGCGAGGTTTGCCCAGTCCGTCACATCCAGTCTGCATGCCAGCTGGGTTATGTGGCCCGGTTCAGAATCCAATTCAACCCATGCGCAGGCTAAGAATACCTCAAGGCATTGGCAGTATGCTCAGTATCAGGGCCAAGTCTGATAAGCCAGCGGGCAGCAAGATCGTGGATAGTCCAAAGCTAATTTTGAATGTGGCCAATTTTGGCGATGCGAATAGCCCCGTCATCCATGGGTGACCTAATATAACCAGCTGTCTAACGATGAGACACTGGCCTTGGGGGTGACAGCGGACAGGACCTGCACCTCCGATGGGATCGAACATGTTGATGGCACTATTGCTAGTTTTGCGCCATCGTACAAGCGACCATGTGGTCAATAAATGGGTTCGAATCATACGCCACTATTAGTCGTTGGAGATATTTTCATACCAAGAAAAAGAGCGATATGCCTAGCAAGTTAGTGGCATGACAGAGTGAGAATTTCCTAAAGAAGCATTGTAGGGTCGCCCAGATAGTGATGCTTTTCCATTAGAATGAATCGCTTGGGGGCTTTGATCATCGATTGAGTGAACATGCAGAAACCGCCGTCTTTGCTCTCTTCCAGGTAAGCATTTTCATTAGCATATGATGTAGAGGCGCTTTTGGGGATGTCCCTTGAAGATCTGAGCCCCTGTACGGAGTAGTAGGATGTCGATCCAGCAGCTCTCCAATACTCTGGCTGTAGGTTCTATCGGATCTCCAGGGCTTTCAAAGGATTGGGCAATTCATCGTTGGGCTGCCATTGGTGGCACGGAATATCCCCGACAGTGACTTGCGATTTATGGGACTTATGGCTGCCTAACATATTCTGTATGTTGTATGCACAATTGGATTGTGTTCCTCCTTTCGAGTAATAGATGTCGAACCCCTTTTTACCCGAATCATAACAATATCAAAAAGGCGGTGTTGGACAAAACGCTGATTGCTGCCATGCGGGTGGAGAAACCTGCATTCAACCGTTGATCGCTTCTGACAGGACGCAGGGGAGGCAACCCAGGGCTTTGTTATTCGAGGTGAAAAGTTGGTATTGGACTAATCAGAATCAAGTTAAATGTATTTAATATGAAACCCCAGCCACCATGAAAATAATAGGAAAGCCTTGGTGGATTAGGCGATTGGTAGGAAATTGGGTGGTTGGGTATACGGAGAGAGGCTGGGAGACGCTGTGTAGCTAACAAACTGGAACACTCTCCTCTCTTGACTTTTCTCATTCTCATTCATTCTTTGTCTACATTCCGATCTCTTGAAGTCTCAAATATTTGAAATCTTTGTTTACTGGTGATCTACAAAGATCGCTCGAGTATACGGGTGAGACTACTGAGAAACATCCAGTCCAAATTACTACGATCTCCCACTCGAGTGATTTCACCATTGAATCTCGGCAAAGGCAGCCTCACTGTTTCTTTGCGATGCGGTCTTTATCCGTCCTGCCGGTGCTCTCGACACTTGCCCTACTTCTCAACTACGCGCTCCACACAACCGCAACCCCGCTCGCATTAGAAGCAAACGTCACGGAAGAGCACAGACTTGAGAAGCGATGTGCGAACCCTTGCGGCTACAACGACTGGCTTTGCTGCGAGACCGGTCAGACATGCAGTACCAACAGTGCCAAAGAGGCCGTCTGTTCAGATGGCAGTGGTGGTGGCAGTGGTGAAGACTGGGAATATTACACAACCACCTACGTGCTCACCAACACCGATCTAACAACTATTACATCTGTATGGAGCAGCCAGATTGCCACACCCACAGGCATGGGAAGCTGCAGATTCGACCTCGGTGAGACAAAATGTGGCTCGACTTGTTGCGATGCTACACAAGAATGCGCCTTGAATGCCGCTGGCGACGCGGGCCAATGTGTCGCCGAGAGCTCTTCATTTGTTGCGACTGCGACAGGAACAGAAGCAGGATCAGAAGCCACGCCGGGCGTGCGAGTGACGAGCAATGGGGCAAGCACCGTAACAGCAACCTCAGCCCCTACTACCACGGAGGGATTCACAGCGCCGGTTGGAACGGATGGGGCAGCTTTGATCGGGGTCAAAGCCACAAGCAGCAGCGGACTAAGTGGTGGCGCCATCGCAGGAATCGTCATCGGCAGTATCGTTGGTGCGTTCTTATTGCTACTCCTCTGCGCCTGCGTCTGCTTCAAGGGCATCTTGGAAGGCCTGCTTGCAGCACTCGGCATCGGCAAGAAGCGCCGCAGACAGGACACAACCTATATTGAAGAGCGCCATTCTCACCATTCGCATGGCAGTCGGCCTCCTCCTCCTCCCGGCCGGCGAACTTGGTTTGGCGCCAAACCAGCCGCGGGAGGCAGTGAGGTTAGCGAGAAGAAAGACTCCAAATGGGGCTTGGGTACAATTGCCATTATCATTGGTGCTCTTGCTCTGTGTTTGGGATTGAAGAGGAAGAGAGATAGAGAGCATGATGACGACAAGACCGAGTCCTCCTACCCAAGTTCATACTACTATTATTCCGACTATTACTCGAACACAGGGAGTACGTCTGCCCCCGTATATCTTGACCAACAAAAAAACCTTTACTGACCTTTCTTCTTTTACAGGTAGCCGAAGTTCTGACAGACGAACTAGGGATACGCGACGGTCACGACGATCGCGCACTCGCTCTGACCGTCCATGATATCTGATGTGAGAAGAACTCTGTCTCTCTTTGACCTTGGGTTTTCATTTCGACAACCTTGGTTTGATTATGCATTTATGGCGCTGGATTTATAACGTGACTAATGTACGACTACGATTTGCACGATGATTGTTTTTGGTTTTGATTTAGGATTGACGATATTGCCTTGTTTTCGATGTCGATATGAGAGATTTATGGCACACTACGATGTACATATGACGTTATGAGCACAAACTCGACATGATATGATTCTTAAACTTGTTTATTGCTGTCTAATAAGTATTGACATGGTATAATTGCTGGCCCACGGGCACCGGCATGAAATAACTATGAGTGACTGGCGCATGGAAATTGCAAAATGGCTGCAGAAAGCAAACAACTTGCAGGAACAATGTGCTCTGTTCGGATGCCATGCAGGTTTGACACAAGGTACGTAAATCCAATAAATCCCAGTTAAATGAGATAAAAGAGAAAAGAATATAAAAGATAGAAGAGAAAAATCATTATAGAATATATAGTAAGACAGTAAAGAGAGACATGCCCAAGGCCAAAAAAGACCACACAAAAGTTAGGGGAGGCACTTTACCTCCCCGCCTTCACTTCCGCCTTTTCCCTCCTCCACACTCCTCTGTTCTACCTGTTTGACCCATTCCACCCATTCCACCACCATCCTTGCAACTTGTCTTCAGTCATCAATGATTTCAGTCTCAGGATTAAACTCCTGACATTATTAACCTCATTCCAACTTTATCCCAACCCCCATTTTGCCGTCGCTTCGCCTGAGTTCCGATCCTTCGGAGTATTACGAGTCTCCGAAACGACTCATCCTCCACCATGCTTCAAGCGCAGACCCAACACGTCTTTTCCCACCAACATCAATACCCCCAGGCTGATCCCTCGTGGATGCAGCATCAGCAACAACAACAGCACCATCAGGCTCAGCCGCACCCACACCAGTCGCAGCAGCAGCACGCTTCCCTGGTCGCCCAACAGCATGCCCAGGTCCAAGCTGCTGCTGCCGCAGCACAGCAACAACACTATGGCCGCATTGCCATGAGCGGCAACGGCGCTGGAAATCCCGCGCAGGGAGCCGGTGGCGCCGGCGGCATGGGTGGAGATGGTATGTCAAATGCAGTCTCCGCCATGGATGGTGGAATCAGTGAGGAGAATCGCAAGGTCTTCATTTGGGTCGCTGAGCTATTGGATCCAGCTCGAAGGGAATCTGCTTTGATGGAATTAAGCAAGAAACGTGAACAGGTCCCCGAACTGGCTCTGGTTATCTGGCACTCTTTTGGTATGGCTCCATTCCCAACGTGCGCCCAGCCCTGTCTACAATAAACTAACGGTCGGAAACTTGCAGGTGTCATGACTGCACTCCTTCAAGAAATTATCTCGGTATATCCGCTCTTGAATCCTTCTCAGTTGACTGCCGCCGCGTCAAATCGAGTCTGCAATGCGCTGGCGCTTTTGCAATGCGTCGCATCCCACAATGAGACCCGCACTCTTTTCTTGAACGGTGAGCAATCTATCTACTATGACCCATGCAGAATCGGTTGCTAATTTGTCCTCGTCTTTCAGCTCACATCCCTCTTTTCCTCTATCCCTTCCTCAACACCACCTCCAAGTCTCGTCCCTTCGAATACCTCCGACTAACGTCGCTGGGCGTCATCGGCGCATTGGTGAAGAATGACTCCTCTGACGTGATCAACTTCCTCCTAACTACGGAGATCATCCCTCTCTGCCTTCGCATTATGGAGACGGGATCGGAACTGAGCAAAACCGTTGCTATCTTTATCGTACAGAAAATTCTTCTTGATGATATTGGTTTGGGTTACATTTGCGCGACATATGAAAGATTCTATGCCGTGGGCACTGTCCTGAGCAACATGGTCACTCAGTTGGTGGAGCAACAGACCGTCCGCCTTCTCAAGCATGTTGTGCGCTGCTTCCTTCGGTAAGTCCTAGTGTGGTCCCCCTCTTCGTGGGCGTCTCTAACAGAAAGATACAGTCTCAGTGACAACAGCCGGGCCCGAGAGGCCTTGCGGCAATGCCTCCCCGAACCTTTACGGGACGCCACGTTCTCCTCCGTCCTCCGTGACGATGCAGCCACCAAGCGCTGCCTGGCTCAACTCCTTATCAACTTGTCCGACACCGTCTCGGATGGAGCCCCGGCAACCATGTAACATACGAAAAGCATCTGTTTCTTTCTCCCGAAATATTTTACCTTATGATATGCATGGGAAAGGCTTCTGGCGATTAACGGACACAAGGCGCAAAATTGTGATTGAAGAACTGGATGGATCCAGCGCGTGAGGTATGTCATCGATTGAGGGCATCGGATCCAAATCTGTTTTTTCTTCATTCCGGGTTGTTTCTCTCTTTACCGCATTTATATTGGGTTTCCTGAGGGTTCGGTGATCTGCGTTGGGGGGAGGTTTAATGTATTCTTGTGCCTTTCTTCCTTTTTCTTTTTCTATCTTTGTTTTGCATTTTGCTTGTGGGAAATATGCTTCTTTACTTTTGTCATTGATTTTCATTTTCGACGGAACTTTTCTGTCATGGCGCGAATTCTGGTTGGCGCTGTCGTCTGTGCATTTTTCTCCTCGTCTTTGACGACCCCCAACTGCTCTGTGTGAGATAGACCTTTGAGCGAGAGATATCCAAAGATCCAGGCGTCCGCTTTGTTTTGATTTTTCTCTTCTCTTGTGTATATGCGACTGTTCTCAAAAGCATGAATGTACTTGTCTCCGATTCATGAATATTCGATCTTCCTATTGTTTGCATAATCTCATTGTATAATCTTCTTCAGAATTAAGATCAATTATATGATCGACAAGATAAAATTAGCTCTAAATTCTCAACTTCTCCCCTTGCTAGTTTCGACAAACGCATCGAATCACGTGACGTGGTCCTTGACGCGCCGCCTTACTGATCGTCTTGCCTCACGACACGAAAAAAAGCCCAGACTCAACCTTCATATTTCTTAGGCCCTTTTTCAATTTTCACGCTTAAATTTCTCATTTGAAAGTTAGACTCTCCTCTGGCTTTCATCTCCACCCAAATTTCATTCTAGTGAACCCCTCCGTTGGACACCTCCGAGAAAACCGGCCTTGACGGTTGTCCCGCCGCGATGGGATCGCGAAAGCGCACCCACTCCGAGGCCGTCTCGGTGGCCGAGCAACAAGCACCAGAAGAACCTGGTTTACTCTCACAGCTCAGGAGTAACTGGGCATTTGCAAGCCTCATGCAATACATTGCCATCTTTGGCCAGGTCATGAAGATTGACGAGGAGTTTGGGATTGAGGTATGTCTATTAGTGTCGTCTGAGATGAGATCAATGATGCGCTTTGTGTCGCATTGATGAGAGGATCTACCAGCACATCTTATTTGGTTGAATTACGGCTGATAGCTTTTGCCCCACGCTAGGACCTAGAAGTCGAATGCCTCAAACCCGAGCCCTCTCATAAACTACTAGAGATTGGATTGTGTCTCCTTAAATGGATTTCGTCGCATCGCGGTCTTACGTATGTATACTGGAAGAGGTTTCTTGCTATCCCGGGCGGTTTCACTAACACTACTGTGTCGGCAGCTTCGACAATTTCGATGAGTACACCCGACGCCAGTACAATGCGAAAGCACCCAATACCACCAATCCCTTCGGCCACGAGGAAGAGCCAAACAAGTTCTTGCACTTCGATGTTTTCACCAAGATTCATGTCCTCCACCAGCTGACGGTATGGACATTCTGGAACCCGGACCGCATTCGCGACAAGATGCCTGAAAAGAAGGAAACCGAGCAGACAGAATGGGTAAGTGAGCTCTCGTACTACTCTGGCTCCTGGCTATCGCATACTGACCTTCCCCAGCGTATTGAAGAGTTTGGCTGGGACCGCGAGGGGCGTTCATACTATGTACTAGATGACAACCGTCTTTACCGTCGCACCGACCCTCCTCCGCCTCCACCTCGCCAGCGTCCCAAGAAGAAGGCAAAGAGCCGGTCTTCTCGAGTATCGAGAACGTCAAAGCGTACCTCTACGGCAGCGGCGGAAGAGGGTTCCGACGAGGAGAGCAAGGATACCAACGATGCAAATGCCGCCGCAGCCTTTGCTGAAGACCCTTTCAAGTGGGAGTGCGTGGCTGTCACACTCGAGGAATACCAGGCTTTCTTAGATACACTTCAAAAAACCAAGGACGCGGACGAGAAATACTTACGCGATAGCATTGTTGAGCATGTCCTGCCTATCCTCGAAAAGGCAGAGGAAGCGCAGCAGCGCAAGCGCCAGAAGCGTGAAAAGGAGCTTATGAACCTACAGCTGGTTGCAGGTGCTAAGAGGTCCAGCCGACTTGCCGCCAAGGAAGAAAAGGAACGACAGGATCGAGATGCTGCTGAAGCTGCCCAAAAGCGTGAGAGCGACCTGGCCGAGGCTCGTAAGCAGCAGGCGAAGCAACATCAGCTTGAAGAAGATCGACAGTCGCGTACAATGACTCGAGAGCAGCGCATCCGAGATCGTGAACAGAAGCGACTGCTGCATGAGGCGGAGCTTGAAAGGATCGAGGAGGAGCAACAAAGAATCGAAAGGGGTGAAAGCAGGGTGTCTGCCCGAAACCTCCAGGCTGATCTGGAGAAATCCCAGAAGAATCTGGCAGGGCTTGCCCAAGATGACCAGTGGGTATTTGATTGCTCTGGCTGTGGAGTGTATGGCGAGAATTTGGTGAGTTCCAGTTTCCAAGCACCTGGCAGCCCTAATCTAACATGGTCCCAGGATGACGGAAGTCATAGTGTTGCCTGCGAAAAATGCAATGTTTGGCAGCATAGCAAGTGTCTTGGTATCTCACAGCAAGCGGCCGAAAAGGAAGACTTTCACTTTGTCTGCCGAGACTGCAAGCAAAAAGAGGAAGATTCCAACAGGCCCAAACTTCCACCCCTCAAATTCCGAGTCAGCGCTTCAGCATCTCCTTCGGCTGCTCCTCCGGTGAGTAAGAAACAGAAGGCGGAGGATGACGAAGATCATGCTCCGCCTTCACCTGTGAAGAAATCACATCTAGCTCTATCCAACGTTCAAAAAGAACCCTCAAGAACACAACCTACTCTACACTCGTCCGCTATTGGTCATGGCAACTTCTATCCTCCTCGATCTCCCCAGCGCCGGGTCCACCACACAGATCACACTCCATCTTCAAGCCCTCCTCGTCCACCCTTTTCTCCGCCAAAGGGTATGAATGGCTTGCTGCATGCCGCTATGGAGCAGCACCCGCAGCCATCCTCCTCTCAGCACCCTTTGCCGCCTATGCAGCCAGCTCTTCATCTCCCCCCTTTGGATCGTTCCCTGTGCGGCCCTCCTCCTCTCACTCTGCTCAAAGTCCTGTTCAAAACCAACCATCCATGTCACCTACACAGGGCAACCCTGATGTTGGCCCTATTGCGGGCTTCCCGTCTGTTGCTCCAAGCCACACAGCATCTCCGTGGAGTTCTTTCGAGACTCCTCGTCCGCAGTCAGGTCATGCAGCCACGCCATCGATGTCTAATCACTACCCGTCTTTCTCTGCTGCGACGCCCAACGGCAACCACTCTTCGCCTCCTCAAAGTTCTCACGGCATGGCTATGTCGGGGATCAGCCCAACTAAGCAGTCACCTCGTCCGCTTACTGCCAGTGCCATGGCGGGCGCACCAGTCCTGCCGCCCATCCGCAGACTGGAGCCGAGCCCGAAGCTCATGGGTCGTAGCTCTCCAGATGCTCCGATCCCTCCACCTGTTAAATGCATGACTCCTGAGCAGGAGGAACGCCGACAGAGAGAGAATGCTTCAATGCTACACCAGGCTCATCAATACCAGGGCAATGGTCAGCATCTGATGTCATCGCCATCGCTGAATCGCCTTCCTCCCTTGGGCTCAGGGACCACATCTCAGTACCCTGACCCTGTTCCTTCGCCTCAGCGTGGAAGCAACCAAAAGCAATGAATTTCTAGCGCAACAGTGTGAAAAACATGTGTCTTTGTCAAATATACTTTCTATTGGCCCCTTTTTTGAGTCTGCAAACATCTGATTGCCGTTTTGGATACATTCTGGAATCACTATCGAAATCCAGCCCCACAACTTGTGCTGCAGTGAATTTCGAGCAGGTGTGATCTGTGCTTTTACCACGTTTTTTGACGTATGTTTTAACATCTGCAGATTGTGGTTAAGTGGGCGCAAATGGTATCCATCCGGGTATGTTTTTCCAGGTTATCCGGAGTCATTTTCCTGGGAAACGACATGTCATACCTTGAATCTCCAAATCTGTCACATTAAGCCTTCTGGCCTGCTTAGGCACCTGTGTTCTTTTCTTTCCCAAAAGTTCTGCTATTGCAGGCGAACCTTGTTGATGTACCGTGTTTTGATAACGAGTTTTTCCTTTGTCGTTGGTGTCAAGGCTCTATCTCGTAGGATCATTCCTTTGATTCTCTTTGGGGTTTCTCGAGACTGGTGGGCTGGCGTTTGGAACTCTTTTCTGTTCGTTTCTTTCCTGTTTTTACAATGCATCAAGATGGACGGGGACTCGAGCGGCGTTTTCAGATGGTCTGGCCCTGGCACAATTGTTTTGGTGGGTGAGGACATGTGTATTTTAATAGACAATCTTATTTGATTTCATTCTTGAACTACTCGAGGTTTGGTGTAGTTGATAAAAGGGTAGATGGGAAATGTTTAGAGGTCGATATATATATTCTAGATCTATATATTTGCAGCTCCCTGTCCAAATAATAGAACAACATATATAAAGCAGTCACTGCAGCGCTTTGGTCTTGACCTGTTCTAAATCATTTCAGTCTATTAAATAACCTAATTCAACATTTACTTCCTCTATAGGATGGTTTCATAACCAGCCTGTCGTCTATCTAGAAGAACGCGGTAGTCAACACAAAAGTATTATGCCCGGTCAAGATCGAAATTGACCGATATGTCGATCGGCATATACCCCTGGGTACAAATGCAATGCCCAAACGCAGTAGTGCCCAGCTGAACAACCAACAGTATGCGCATGCTGACATACCGAGCTGTGTACTACCTACATCCCTGTATCCTGGACACCAACGCGGCTCGCAGCATTTGAACCCTTTCTCCCTAGCCCTGTCTCTCAATCATATTATGCCATTTCTTTATTAATTCTTTCTTTTCGTTTATTATAAACACAATAGGACCACAATAATTAGGGGCTATAATAATAAAAAAAAAAAGGAGAAACCAAAAAAACAAAAAAACAAAAAAACGTCTCCCACCATCTCATCCCGCAAAGAAATTAGTGTGGTGGCAATTTGTATTAGGTAGATGCCCGATGAGAAAGGTTGTAAGTTCGCGATAGTACCACCTCATCCTCCGTAGGTATTTATGTAGTGATGTGCTAAAAAAAAGCGAGTAAACCCGTTGGCACAAGTATAGCACTAGCCTACCTACTCTGTTGGGTCTAGCATGCGGCGCAGTCAACTTACATAGTTACAAGCGACCGTCCCCAATGGTAATTGGAGGCGATCGATGTAGATCACGCACTAACCTGCGTAGCGTTAGCTGCATACTCATCTTCCCCCCTATATCGCGGCAATTTGTTCTTTTGAATCGGGCATGTCTAGGCACGGAGTTCGAAATACATAAGGAGTTGATCTATCATCCTGTCATATTGCTGTCATAATTCCACCTTTAAAAGGGGGCTTGGACAGGGATATTGGTAGATCTACTGAGGCTACGTGGGGGAAATTAATGATAATGGAAATAGGGAAAACTCCTCCAATAAAAAGGAGGAATTTAGGAAATGGAAATGAGACAAGTGAGTTTATACTATATACATAATAGATCACAATGTTATCCACGAGCTCGGAACGCCAAGGGCCGAAAAAAACCGCGGAGCTCTGCATTGAATCCATGACATGCGAATATGAAGCTGAAACTGAAACTGAAGATGAATGTAAATGTCATTTCCCCCAGTTTTTTTCTTCAAATTTGATCAGATGTGCGTGGGAATACGGTCCAAGGGTCCAGTGTTACTAGATGGAAGATCTCTCTATATAGAGGCACAATATATTGTACGGGAATCCCGAATCACGGTCATATTGACTAGGTATACCTTTACGGCGCATGACTTCGCCTAAAAGGCAAATAATAACTAGAGAACAATGATTAGCTGTTAAAATGACGCTTGATGATCCTATTAGAAAATTGTTAGAAAGTACGGAGTAAGTCGAGAATCAGTTTCGGGATCTAAAGATGTACGCTCCACATATCATACTCCTTTCGGAGTTCCGGAGCTGGAATCAGCTTAGGGCAATCTAAATACATCGTGATTGGACATATTAGGCTCATACGGCAGACACGATCGTGATCCGAGCTTTTACCTCTCCACTTATGCAGCTCATATCTCTTGTCGTATAGAAAAAGTGGAAAAATAGGGAGAGTGGAGTTCCGGAAGCTGACCCGGCCACTCGTGTGCTGCCGGCTCCCGCAGGCATTTGAGTCTGAACTTTTATAATTGTATGTCATAGTCATGGATACAGGGAAAGCTGATAAGAGTATTATAGGGTTGTAGATTATAGACGTCATGACTATAAAACCTGAAGGGGAAAGAGAAGAGAATGGGAGCTCTAGGGCTGTGGTATCTGTCAAATCAATTTTTAGACTCAGACACGGGTAACAGGTGACTAGTATTGACCCCAACTAAACTATCCCCTTTGATACGAAAGGAAAGACAATTGCATTCGTGTTTGGAGATCTCTTTCTTTGATTAAAGTCGGGTGCTCCACCATAGATCAGGTATGGAGTACATATCTACTTTGTACTGCCATACTCCATTTATATAAGAGATCATAAATAAGCACAGATGCTATGCCAAGCAGTGGTCACTGCTTCAAGGCCCCAATTTCTTGCGTTTCTAACCGACAGCCTCCATCTTTTGCCTTCATTGCGCCAGACCTAATTGGGAACCCAACCCGTTCTACAAATTGAACAGCGGAGTTACCACTCCCGTTTGAATACTAGAATTTTTCGTGAGGCAAGTTATTAATTTCCCTTGGCTTGTATAGAATTCGTCGTATTCCGTGTTCTGTGTTTTTTTTCGGTTGGAAATCAGCGAAACACCTAAGGCAAGAATCTGGACACAGCCGAAATCCCGCGTAGATAATCCACTTACGGGGCACCGATACCCGCAAAGGTGGAGGAAATTCTAGACACCCGGAGTCAAGGCGCCGTTGGATGTGACGGAAGAGCGACTATCACATACATCGCGCGAAACTCTGGTATCCATCTCTCTTCTTGCTCTTGCCTTGCTAGGAATTATCCATAAGCCTCCGATTCTTTAGTGAACTCTAAAGCACTGACATGCCGTTATTTGAACAAATTGAGTAACTCTCCTTGCTGATCTGTGAAGACCTCCGTAGACAACGTATATTGTATGGAGTAGGGCTACGGAGATAAGCGATATCCGCTGATCTTTGAACAGGTGACTGACAGCCAAGCCGACAGGGGCTCCTAGGCAGATGAAGCTAGGTACTTTCAAGATTAGTATGGCCCCAGATGAGTCCACAGGCACTAGTATATCGTATTATTAATGACACGGGATCTGTTCATGCTGTCTATTCTGAGCTTGTCGGATTTGTCGAGTCTAGCTTGCCACTAACGGCCTGTTTCGCCTGGCCCGGCTCTGAGTATAGGCGGTAATTGTTCGTTTCAATTAAAATCCAAGTGGAAAATTGTGGATTGACCACGGGGGAAAGAGAAAAGAGGTGGTCCGATTCGTTGGACCCGAGAATCCAAATCTATTATCTTTGACCTTTCTCCTCGGAGTTTGCTCCCCGTAGGAAACAATGGTACTATGTCGAACAAATTTAGACAACACAAGCGCATACCAGTCCATATGAGTTGATTATCAAGCAATAAGAACCGTGGAAATCTCGCTTTTCGGCCAGTTCGGTCCCCCAAGGACGGGACGTAGGGCGTTAGAGTTGTGACATCCAAATCACACATATCAACTCTCCATAACTGAGGGGCTTGTGGATGGACAGTCTATGCCCAGAATCATCAATATGGCGATCGACGTCCGTTGCTGCCACTATGCAAAGCTAGTGAGAATTGGCAAAAAAAAAGAAAAAGAGAGAGAGAGAGAGAGAGAAAGAGAGAAGAGAAGGAGAGAAACGCAGGCTGGTAGTCAATGTTCGTGCTAAGGATAGACAAGACAATACGATTTCACTTCTAAGGTTACCACAACAGGTCGGGTACAGCACAAAAATGATGCAGGGACAAGAGATATGCATCTAAATTGTGCACAGTACGAAGTATGTGCATTTACATATCTGGTCAACCGTGCACACTCTGGCAGATAACCCGTCAATCTCAGACTCCAACCAATCGTGAGCAAGTCCAACTGTTGGTTGAGAATACCACTATATTTTGGCTGAGGCTTGCATGTTATTACAGGCTGTTTCTCCTTTTTGGGCAGCAAGCGCATCAAACCCTCGTATATATCGATTGACAAATGAAGTCTAGCCGCTATTCCAAGGTTGCACAGGGAATCCCTGGCGGTCTGGGAAAATCCAAGGGTTGACACAGATCTGATCTTAACCCACCTGAGCATATTCCATGGTTATATTGAATCTTCATTAGGGTTTGATAGGATAAAGTTAGGCTTTATGGGGCTCTTGGAGCCGTCAATTTCCAATGTCGAATGATCCGCTGGTTGCGCGCAATTTATAGTTTGCCAATTCCGGTACATCCCCCCGGTCTTCTCTGCGCGGCCTGACCGCAGTGATTTCGGGCAAATGCACTTTGTAGTAACTTGTTAAACAGTTTGTAGCAAACACAGAAAACATTCAAGGTCTATGTTCTACTATGTTAGAAAAAGCCAAGTAGATCGCAAGATGAGATGACACCAACACCCACGTTCGGCCGATCCGGCGGTGTCAACTGGGGCCCCTACAAAAGCCGAGCCCCTGCAAAAGCCGTAGCTGCAAAAGCCACTATAGATGGACTACTGGGTTCAGGGTTCAGGGTTCAGGGAATCGGGGATTCGGGGTATCGGGGACATGGCCTCGAATGAAGATGTGAGTAACAAAATTTCCTAATCCAGTCAGTCCCTTGACCCTTCTTTTATGCTGGTTCTCATTATCAGATGTAGATCGCCTTTCCCATGATGCGGATCAGTCCCTCAACCCTCTTTCTCTTTCTCTCGTGCTGTCACTATAAAAATAGCATCAACAATAGACCTGCTAAGAATATCTTGAAACGAAGATATCTTTAGAAGCATTTGAAACACTTGAACAGGCGATCAGGGGGTGAAAGAGGAGTGTCAACATGAAACGCCGTTCAGCATTGGGACCGTGGAGATCTGTGTGTTTTGGGACTTCCGAAAGTAGTCGAGTCAGCAGACTGAACTGCGACCAACCGAAAGTTAGTGTTGGAGCTCATCCTCTTCTGTCGAGGATATCGACCTTCTAGAAGTGCTTGGAAGAAAAGTAGGCCTAAACGGGGTGGCTGTCAATATGGTTCACGCTTATTAGAGATGAGTTCTTAAGTACGCGACCAGTTACAGCGGTGGCTCAGAGGCCCGAGCACCTCATTCGTGAGCACGGTCAATTAGCGCCTGTTGGGATCGGCTTTAGGAATTGCACAACCCGGTGGACAGGGCCGTTGGCTATTCGTACCGATGATTCTCCCCGATGCGGCGGAGAAGAGTCTATTGATATCTCATTTTTGGTCCTAGGAATCAGGACTTAGGGAAACGCACTTGCATAAAAACTAAAATCCTGATATCAAACTTAGGCACCCGTGGAGTACCAACTATGTTGTAGGGTACCTGGGTGCCGGGGAAGCATTTGGGATATCAAATGGGGTCTGGGATATGGAGTACTACGAACTCAACATCACCAGCTTTCCCAATGTAATTCCTCCGAGTCGGCGGAGGCAGCTTTGTTGCCATCTCAATGTTGTTTCTTTGATCGCACCTGGAATACATTCTGACTCCGCCCCATAGGATCGCGGTATAGGATCACGGCATAAGATCACGGCATAAGATTGCAGCATAAGATCGCGGGAGAGAATCGCGGCATATGTATCAGGACAAATAAGATGCTTACAGGATGCCTGACAGGGCCGTCTAGGAGATAAAAAAAAAGCAAAAGAAGATAAGCTCAAAGCACAGGCTTGTATCAACTCCCCACCTTCTTTGGGGGGTAACCCACATGGCCCAGCAGTGCAGGTCTCAGCCTTCCAACTCGCAGATCACACATGGCATCTGCACGCTCTCCACCAATTCAGCAATTGATCGACATTCTGCGTTCCTCTAGGCAGTTTTCGAGTGCCCGAGCAAGGACAGGGTGCAGGACCAAACAAAGAAATACATGCATTGCCAAGCCTTCAAGACGACGAGGGCTATAGAATAACGTGGTTCCTGCGTCCAAGGTCCCAATGGAGCCCATGAGCCAGTCCCTGGGGAATGATAATCCCTTCAAGAAAAGCTGCAGGGGTTGGTTGGTCTCTCACCGCACATTGTAAACAGCCACATCCAAGCTTTGGGAGCATTCTAGTACCCAGTGACCTATCTCAGGGTCTGGTTTTGTTCAAAGCAATGGCCATATTAGGTTGTGTCGTGTCTGCTAGACTTGATCGGGAAGTAGGTGTGTCCCCGAGTACACGTCCCCGAGTAAGCGCGAACTGCCGTGCATATCTGGAGTAGTCAAGAGGCTCGAGAATATTGATCGGGGAGATCTTCCAGGGATGTTGAGTTCAATGAGTTCATGACTTCCCGTGGCGTTGGGTGGATCACCGAACCTGGACAAGCCGAAATCCAACATCAAGTATTGTAGATTATAGATCGGCGTTGCCGTACAAATCACACAAAAGTGCAATCCATGGCGAAATGACACGAGCCGAGTATAGAAATCTGAGAAGTGGTAGAAATGAGGGCAAGGCAGGTCATACCGAGAAAATCTGCCAAGACTTAGTTGAACCAATTCTAGCGTAGGTACTCACCGGATACATCACCCAGGTGGGGCGTAACCAATCAGCATCTAATGGCGCTGTTGACTTTCTAGTCTATTTTCTGGTCATATCGACATCAGCCGTGGAATGTCAACTTTCCGTCGATCAGGGAGGGTCCACTCCACTACAGCCGCGATAGGACAGGACTAGACTTCCCCCCGAAGCTCTCCACTGATTGTCATCCCTGACCTTAATAATGAATATGGGGAGAATGGAAAATGGGAAAATTGAACCAGGACTCCCCGACTCCCCGGACCCAAGGTTACGAGTTACGTACTCCCCAGATCTAGACTGTTGCCTCTTTCTGTATAGCAATCCATGGTTGAGATATCCGGGGGATTTGAGCGGAAATAGTTTCATCGGTTGAACCGTGGGGCAGGCCTTCTAGAAAAGGTGACTCGGTATCGAAGTAGATGGGGCTTACGGTATAGTCAATATGATAAAGGAGATTACTAGTCTTGTGGTTTGCGCTACATCCTTAGCATGTCTTGCAGGCTTAGCCTTGCTCTTAAGCGTCTCCATTTGAGGGTGTTATACAGTATCACGTCACGTATACTACGCTTGACAGCAATGAGCTACATGTTTTGTTGTGCTTTATTTTCCTATTTCTCTCCAAACTAACATCTTTCTGGATACTTGCATCATCTATATGCCTCTCTGTGATTGCTTTTTCCAAATGTCAAAGTGCCAAGCTGTATAGAAAAGATTAAAAAGCAATTCTTGAAAAAAAGAAAACATTCCAACGAACGTGCATCTAAGCTATGATCACCACTATGACATTTCCCAAGCATCTCGCATCTAAGCCCCTCTTACCCCGGCTCCGAATGTCTCCTTTCCATTTGCCATTTGAATGTGGCCTATTGCATCCCCGGGTACCGGGCGTTTGAAAGTTCCTACAGGTCCATGGTCTGCGCCCCCCAGTGCAATGGGCTCCATACTGGAGTTTATGTGGATTCTATGCCGGGGTTATTCGGTGTTTCGTCAACCTTCCGAACCTTCTTCTTTCTCTCTGGGCTATTTGTAGTTCTCCAAATTTGGCACAAAGACGAAGTGTTTGAGATATTGCTAGGACCCTTGGAGGGTGTAACATAGTATATGCCATATCAAACTATTATAGGCACTGAATGGCAAACCCAGGTAGAAAATTGAGCATATCAAACCAATAGCAGATCTGACTAGGACAAAAAAAGGCAAACAATCTATGAACGCCTCCACTAGATTTAGAGTAGAAAAGAAAAGGAAAAAAAAAACTAAGAAATCACAAAATTATATAAAAGAAACGGTAAAATTATAATTATAATAATAATAATATAAATACTATGAATAATAAAATAATATAATAATATAATAAAATAAGTATAAAATAAAAATAAAAATAAAGTAAAGTAAATTGAATACTAACCAAGGGAAATAGATTCACGCCATGCGTATTGTATTCCAGTCCTTCTTCTTGAGTCAGTTTCAGCCTCTAGTTGTTTGCGTATCTCTCTCTACCATCGACTCTATTTATTTCGAGACCCGCCCATCTTTCAATCCTCAATCTTCAAGTCTTTGCCTTTTTGTTCCTCAACTTCTTTGAACTGGAATTCACATATCCACTTGATCTTCATACTTAGTTACTTTCATACACACTTCATCCAATTGGATTGTTGTAGTGTTTGTCTCACCTACCAGCAGATCTATCTGCAGCCGTGTTTGAGACCTCTTTCAGGGGAGCTAAACTGCAAGACAAACCCATCATCTGGGTAGGACAGCAGAGAATATCTTTATTCTACATCTCTTCCACTTCTTTCCTCTTTCTGGAGCTTCCCTTTCTCTTCTTTACTCTCGCTGGAACTTCCTAGCGATTCAACCTCTATCGGCTTATCTTTTTATCCTATCTATCAGGGTCTAAAAGATCACAACAATGACTTTGGTGGCAAGACCCATTCCTCCTACGCCTCCCCAGTCCACAGACGGACATCCCTTGCCCGAAGAGTCCTTCGAAGGCTCTGGCATATACCGACCTGTGTACAACACCATAAATATGTCTGGCCAGGAAAACAACGGTGTCCAGACCCAGCCCCAGACTCAGCGGCAGCCTCAGTCACAGTCCCAGTACCAGTCCCAAGCAATGGTGAGTCCCTTGTCTTCTGGATGTTGCCTAATCGCAATACTAACCATCCTAGCACTACGGTTCTCCCCCACTCCATACCACCCCCAGTTTCCCTCAAAACATGCCCCCTCAGTCGGTAAGTTAGATTCCCATGCTGCCATTTGACCGTGTTTGAGACTGACAAGATACGTAAAATCAGATCATGATGTCTGGTACCCAGGTCACCACGCCTCCTCCGGTATCTGATGAAAGTCTCATCCCAATGGGGTCACCTACCATGATGACCCCTTCGCCACCTTGGACACGGGCCCCGCATGCTCGCAACAAGACACCAGTCAAGGCAGCCAAGCAGCGACGCAACCGTAACCGGAGAGAACTCTCCGATCCAGGTATCAAGCTTGATGGACCAATCAGTCAGCTCACTGAAACTTTCCACACTACTCCGATCAAAGACATGGATGCTTGGGTGTCTCGGTCTGCTCATGAGCGACAAAACGAAGTCCGCAAGAAGAATGGGAAGATCTCTCGGCCCATGAATTCCTTCATGCTTTACCGGTCTGCATACGCAGAGCGCACCAAGAGGTTAGTGGGCGCGAATAACCATCAGATCGTCTCAAAGATCGCGGGCTTGGGCTGGAAGCTAGAGCCCGTTGAGATTCGCCGAAAATACGAAGACCTGGCAAAGCTAGAACGGGATAACCATGCCGCAACACATCCAGACTACAAGTTCTCGCCCAACAAGCCCCCACCTGCCAATCGACGCGATTGTAGCTCTCCTACTATCGTCGATGAGGGATTTTTCTCTGACATGGACAGTGATCTTGGATCAAGTATGGGTCGTGGGTCTTCCTATATCCACTCTCGATCCCAGAGCTTTGAAGAGGCCTACTATGACAGTAGCCGGGATTCCTCGCCATTTGGGCCTGACTCGATGATGACACCCGGATCTGTTCACTCCTCCTGGCAAAACACAAGCCACCCAAATGGCCTCCCAGCGATGCAGCCCGACTCTCTCCAGGGTCACGAATCCTATGCTGGAGATATACACTACCGCCCGACCAGCCCAAACCAGCAGGGCATTGGATATGGCTCTTCCCTCGCTGGACTCCCTGGTGCTGCTCACCACGAGTTGCTCCAGCCTCAGCTTACCCACCCATCACACGGTTTTCCTATGCATGACATGGATCCCCGGCTTCTCAGCAATAGCGCCGAGTCTTCTGGAGTTGCCACCATGGCCGGCTCTTCCTATGCTGCCACTCCTGGCTCATATTCGACCTGGGTTGACGAGACCCAGCCAGGCTTTTACGCTGCCTCATCGGCACCGTCCATGCCCCCCAGCACTGTTTCATACGCTCATCCTAGCATGTCGTCTGCGTACCTCCCCAGCATGCAGAGCCTCGAGGGCCGGGATTCAACATGGGATATGCCTCACCATGAAAGCATGGCTGACCCTACTAGCACTGAGTTCGAGTTGTGGTGCTCCACGGATCCCAACTCCAACAACTACTAAGCTCTGATAATTGAACTATGGCCCTGGCTATCCCAAGGGCCTTGCATAGGTCTATCGCGTTATTGAATGTGGGCTGACCAACTTTTTGCTGCTGTACTCCTGGACGAGAACATGAGCAAGGGCTGGCCATGCCGATGGGTTTTCCAAAAGAAAAATCTCAGTGGGAAATGGAGTTCGGGCTCGGGGCGTATGGGGTCCAATAATGATCTCCTTGGTTCGGTCTTTTACTTTTCTTGCTGTCATGCCAATCAATCTGGTATTTGTCTTACTTTCATTTGATTTTCGGATCTGCCTGGAAATCGATTCGATACTTAGGGTTTTTAGATTTCTGTTATCTTCACGTTGATGGAATGGTGCACTGGAGGGAATTGCGATCTTTTTTAATACGCATTGATTTTACCTACTCAAATATCCATGTCCAACTTTTTCTCTCGATAGCTATTAAATCTTAGGTAAAAGGCTGCTTGTATTAGCACCAATTTCAATTAGATTAGCACCCACACGGACTTTCTCGGTCGTCACTCCTACATGCTATAAACGGCAGTGATATCCCTCCCTACAAGATCTCGGATCTCATGGCGTTACGTTGGCGTTGCGTAAAATATCCTTCTATTATGTTCTATCACACTCTATCACACCGCTATTTGAGATATTTGTGCGCGGTTTCCATATTCTAGAAGACCCTGATGGCGCAATATGGCCTTCTTCTTTCCCATGATTTTGTGGGTGCCAGAATTTCCAACTTGTCTACCTTTCTGTAGTATAAACTGGATATCTTTATGCATAAAGACTTAAATTAGGATTATCTAGTTTAAATGAAGCCATTCAAGTCCAAAACATCTGTCAGATGGCCCTGGTGCTTGTAAAAATTGCGTGGAATTATGTTCTTTGTGCTGGATAATACATAATACCCAGAGATGCTTCCAGCAAAGGGATCTAAGCACCGAAAGACCTGCTTGGTTTTCTTTTCATATTCAAGGAGATCTGGATAGCATCGAGCGCATGTTGAGCTCGCCCTTCCTAGACAGAAGTCCATACCATGTGAATTGCTGAAGCCAATATTAACCCAGTTTAGTTAGAATCTCTCAACAAAAGAGACACATAGCAGAGACAAATATGTATGTCTGTCTGCCTTGTCCAACACAAACTCCATACTTTTCTCGGGAACTTGACGCATCTCTCGTATACTCCGTACCTCTCGTATACCTCGAGCCCTAAGTCAGGCAATACTCCACCGCCCCACTCTCCCACCGCCTTGACCCCAACGGGCTCGCCGAGCAAGTCGAATTGATTCTGTTGATCAAGACATTGCACAGAGACACCCGTGCGAGACAGTTTCAATAAAACCAAATCAGTCGATACATATTTACTCCAAAGAGAAAATCAAATAACTAATCCGGAGTCCACGACAAAACAATTTCACTTCCGCCCGTTCCTCCGCACCCCTCCTACCCCTCAACCACATTCAAGCTCCGACAACATCCACAGCCAAGATGTCGATTCCCAACGAAGCTCTCCAAAAGGTGTGTCTCAAGCTGAATAATCTCGCATTTTTGGGTCGGATACTGCGAGTAGATGGCCAGGGGAAGTGGCGCGCCAATCCAAACCGGTCTCGCTCGGCCTCTTGTCTCTCTGGTTTCCGATTGAAGATGTCACTTCCAATTAAGGTATGCAAATGCTAATCGTTTCAACAAATACAGCTCCTTCAGGAGATTGAGGCCCGTGCGATCGCTTCCCAGCAGCAGATCAGTATCACCAAGGCTCATATGACGGCCAAGCAGCGCGATATCCGCATGCTACAGCTTACATCGAAGGAGTTGTCTGAGTTGCCTTCCGAGACGAGGGTTTATGAGGGCGTCGGCAAAATGTGAGCATTTTTATTTTTTTTTCTTCATATCTTGCCTTTTATTTCTTATTTATTTCATGCCTTTTTTTCCTGTTTCCAATTTTACGATTTCGAAACAGGGAGACAGTCGGGGAAATTTCTCATTCGCTCTATTTTTCGTGAAATTGAGACTGACTTATGCCCCCCGTCCCAGGTTTGTCAACGTTCCCATCGACACAGTCAATAAGCGCCTCACGCGTGAGAGTGGCGAGGCCACCGCTGAGATCTCCAACCTCGAGAAAAAGCTGCAATACCACGAGACGACAAACCAAAAAAGTCGGGAGAACTTGGAGCAGATTCTCAAGTCTGGTGGGAGGGCGTGAACAAAATGTTGAAATAAGAATATGAGACGAGAGCAAGACGTGAACGCGATGCGCTCCTATGTGGCGGGTATCCTTGATTGTGGTATCTTTATACCAAAGGTTCAGCGATTCTCGCGAATGTGAGTCTTAATGAAAAGGAATGGACAAGGCCGGTTCTGCCCTGTCTTTTCTTTCCGGGTGCAACTGCGACACAGGTTGGATAGAGGGGATGGGATGGGTAGAAGATACCATCATCTCGAAGCTGATGAGTGGATATGACATACTTTGCCCCGGGGAGATGCAGGGACGGTACATATATTTGCCTTTCTATGTCCGGCTGGCCTGGTCATATTCTGGCGTCTATACATACTTGGGTTGCAGGCTCGTGACTTAGATACCCGGAGTTATCGTTTGCAAAAATACGTATGTTTCTTGGATGAATCAAGCGAGGAAAGAGCGTGCCATGATAACCTCTTTGCATATATTCCCTTCGTCTTCCATGATATCGCTGTGAATTTGCTGAAGCATCGCCAATGCATCTGGATTCAAGATTGGATTGACCTTCGACCGTCTAGCGAGAGAGAGCTATCTAGAGGAATATGTAGCCTCAGTGCCAAGATCCCAAGATAATATGTACGTTGTAGTTGCGTCTCGCAAAGCGCACGGTGGCGCGTTTGATAGCTTATTGTGCTGCAGCTGGCACGGGTTCCAATGCGAAGCACGGTTAAATTTACTTCGTTTTCGTTTTATGCGACATACAACATACATAGACGCCTGTAAACTTTGTGCCCCAACTGCCTTTAAGAGTTCTTGGGACACACAAATGGGGGTAGTACAGCAATGAGACCCTACTACTCAAAGGGACCTCTGGTGCACTGGGCTCGCGATCTCTTAAGGGCTTTGGATTCCGAGGTAACAAATGACTATTGCCACTGGGAGTCGAATTGCTCGCTTCTGTCATATTGCCCAGAGGCCCCAGCACGAGCACTTTTGTTACTGGCTTATCTTGATAATGGTCATCGGCTAGGTGATTTCTCCTTTAGCGCTCGGTTAGATCCATGTTAGGGTTCCTCGGCGGTGACAATTTTCGGTGAAAAAACGAGAGCTTTGAGGTATCTGGGGCAAGCAAGATCAGTACATATTATGTAGACATTTACTAGTCCTAACTAAATGCTGAGACATTACCTGGTCTAGAGACCTTTGATCCTCATGCTTTAGCATCATTGACTTCAGATGTTAAACTGGTACCGATATAATCAAAATCCTCTGTTGCTAGGTTGATTTGCTTATAGACCTTAAAAATAGAGCGAAACAAGGCATGCTTGGTTTCTAGTTCAAGCTAGTGTGTCCACAGATACACCCATTATATTTGGGCACATTGTGCGGGGCGACCAAGTGTGCCATTTCTATTCGTATTTTATACTACTTCGTAAGGAGGGGGTACCTAAGAAGTTAAGGCCCGAGAAGCTAAGGAAGGGTATCGTGCTAAGACAGCCTAGAGTATATAGTACACTAGTTTAACACTATAAACTATATAGGCTTAATACTACTTCTTATCTGATCTTTTTACTGATCTTTTATAGCTTCTTTCAAGAAAAGGAATAAAACTAGTTTAAAGGACGGAATTTAACATAGAATATATAACTATAAGGTATTAATCAACTACACTTAAGAGTATACATATGAAAAATAAGTTAATAGAATTTGACTGGAGACTTTATTTACTCCTGACCCTAGAAAGTGAGAGTGGACTAAATTACTGCCTGGCAATATAATCCATTGAAAGAGTTGTCCAGGTGGCACACTTAGTCGCCCCTACACATTGGTTTACTGTGCAGGTATCTATATCAGGGCTCTCGTGTGCCACCACACCAACGCCGTTGGCGTCACATCAACGCCCATTTTCCCCACTACGCATATTAAAAATGACGTATATCTGGGCAACACAATCACTCATTTCCTGGAATGAGAACTACTGGCCCATAATTCGTGGAACAATGACTAGTGTGATATTTTGCTTATTGTGGCTACTTCGCGATACTGGCATCAAGTCACAGACTGACCGCTGAATGGGCGAGAAAAAGCACCGTTGTCGCTGTTATCGCAATGACAGGGTTTCCCTGGCTTGGATGTAGAGAAATACGAAATATCTTGTTTAGCTTGTATGTTTGCCACTGTAACTGTTCGCCGGGTACCTTCTTCTAGGTGTGGCTTGGGTCGGGGCACTTATATGTGTAGGTTGGATATAAGGCGGCTAGAACACCTGGGCAAGTCCAAAGGTTACCACGGAAGTGCACAACCACTAGCGATACTTGATCGCTTGGATTACAGTCAAAATGATGCAGCCAGGTATTGTAGACCAACACACATCTGTGTATGGCATATATAAATGCCGATCTTCGAGAATAAGATACATGAAGTCTAGTTATCAATATGAGTTGTTCATAGACGTGATGTAGAAACTAGAATGAAGAAAGTCTGGTGCAGAAGTCAGGTGCCCATGGGTCATTTCACGGGAACACCCGATCTGGTCCACAGGTTCACCGTCGCATTCCATGGAATGTATCACGTTCTCAGATATGAACTTTCCATTTTAGGCTCAGTTCTCGCCGCTTTTTGGGCAAGTAAAATTGAGCACACCCCCGGGGCGCCACAACCCCTCATTCTTATATAAGCAACATTCAAGGCGGGCAGCCCTAATCCGACATCTGTCATGGCGAAAAGCGAAGAAAGAAAAGTACATGCGTGGCGGGGGGCCAGTCCAGATTGGCCTTAAAGTCTCGACATCAATATCCCCAACCCTATCTCGATTA